ACGCCATGTTGGACAACGGCAGCACAGGATGCTTTATCACAGAAGAACTCAAGGATGAACTTCAAGCAAAGTCAACACCAACGTTGCTGAGGTTGCAAACGATGAACGGAACAGACCTCATCAACACAACAGTGGTATCAGATATTGTGATCTCCGACCCCTCTGATAGACAGTTTGTTAGTTTGCCACGCATTATCTTTGTAAAGATGTAATGCCTGTCGGTCACGACAGTATTCCTAAATCGGATGCTTTGATGCAACTACCAGGCCTCAAGAATGTTGCTGAAATGATGCCGCTGTATCGAATTTCAGACCTGAATATTGGCCTTCTTATCGGGCAGTAACTGTTCAGATGGTCTTCGACCTCTTGAAGTCACCCCATCATCTGGCAATGGACCTTTTGCTGTGAAGTACAAACTTGGTTGACAGTAAATGGCCCTCTTCAGGTCAAGTGTAATTTGGAAGACAAATCAGTTGTCTGCAACATGGTGGCTCTAAAGGAACATGAGAAGGTATCAGAATGCATTGTGAATGAATGTTTGAACTAGACTTCTGAACGAGGCTGATGTTGGGAAAAGTCCCTGGTGAACGAGGCTATTCCATTGAAGATCAAAGATTTATAAAGGAGACCGAGGAAAATTGAGGTTCGTAGATGGGCATTATGAAATTCCTCTTCCTTTCGTAACGATTTAAATATGCCATCAAACAGGGAGCAAGCTGTAAAAGGGTACTTTGGCAAAAGAAAAAGATGATGAGCAATGCACAGTATCATAAAGATTATGTTGCATTCATGGATACACTGCTGGCAAAGGGTTATGCCATTGAAATTCCTGCAAACGAGATTACTTGCCAACCTGGACGCGTCTGGTATCTGCCACACCATGGAGTGTATCATCCGAAAAAGCTGAACAAGATCAGAGTGGTCTTTGACTGTAGCCCAAGTATGGAGGTTTATCAATCAATGATGTTCTTCTACAAGGCCCCGATCTTGCCAATTCTCTCATTGGTGTTTTAGCTCGTTTCCAGAACAGACCAAGTTGCCTTCATGGGAGATGTAGAGGCCATGTTTCATCAAGTCAAGGTTCCACGGAGCACCAGGACTATCTACGGTTTCTGTGGTGGCCTGATGGTAATGTTCATAGTGAGCTGAAGGAGTACCGCATGACTGTGCACACTTTCGGAACTTCCCGTATCCTCTCCCACTGTTGCCAATTATGCCCTGAAAAGCACAGGAGCCAAGTCCAGATCTAACTATGATGACCAGGTTGCACAAACGATAGAACGCAATTTCTATGTCGACGACTGCTTGAAATCTGTGGAGTCTGATGAGTGTGCTAGTGACTTGATAAAGAATGTAAAGCTTGCATGTGCGGATGGTGGATTCAACTTGACAAAGCTTACAAGCAGCAGCAAGATTGTTCTGTCCTCCATTCCTCAAGAACATCGCCTTCCAAGGAGATTCGCCGCTGACCCTCAGTCGAGATGATATTCCCATGGAGAGAGCACTGGGGCTGCAGTGGGATACCAAGCTGGATTGTTTCAAGTACACGGTTGACTTGCCAGAGAAGCCGCTTACTAGACGAGGAATTCTGTCCATGGTGTCCCTCCCTTGTATGACCTCTAGGTCTCGTCGCGACCGGTGCTGCTGCTGCCTGCTAAAAGAATCCTTCAAGACTTGTGTAAGGACAAGGATCTAGGCTGGGATGACAACATCGGTATGGAGTTCGCAGGCAGATGGACAAATTGGCTCCAGGAAGTCAAAATGCTCAAAGGTCTAACTGTTAGAAGATGTCTGAAGCCTCCTGATTTTGGTGATGTATTGTCTCAACAGTTACATATCTTCTCTGATGCTAGCTCCACAGGATATGGTTGCTCTGCATACATTAGGCTTTTGACACAAATGGAAACATCCACACAACACTTCTCCTGGGCAAAGCTCGACTGGCTCCTTTGAAAACCCTGACTATTCCCAGATTAGAACTGACAGCTGCTACTGTGTCTGTGTGAAAATAGGACAATTTCTCTTCCCAAGGGAACTGGATGTAAAACATTGACCGTGTCACCTACTACACAGATTCAACAACTGTTCTGCAGTATATTCGCAGTGAAAAGAAACAGATTTCCAGCGTTCGGTCGCCAACCGAAAGTGAAGCTTATCAGGGACTTCCAGTACACCAGAACAGTGGAAGTATGTCGATTCCAAACCCAACCCAGCTGACATTGCATCTCGAGGATCTAGCTGCTCACAGTTCCTGAAATCCATTGAATGGTTCAATGGTCCAAAGTTCTTGAGAATGCCTGATTCAAAAATCAATTTCGAACCTCAGAAAAACAATTGAAGCTGCTGTGATGTCAACGCTGAATGAGACAGCTGATTCCCCTGGAGATGTTGTTAGTAAACTCCTCAATTATTACTCATCCTGGTACAGACTGAAAAGAGCAGTCGCAATCTATCGCGAGGTTCTTCAACTTTCTGGCTTTTAGTCTCAAAAGGGAAAGCCCTCAAATAACGCTCTTTGTCACTTCAAGAACTCATAGACCTCCGAAGAAAGAGTATTCTTTCCTTTGTTCAGCACATGGAGTATGGCTCAGAAATCGCAAACTCCTCCTCTAAGAACATGCAGAAATGGGTTATCAATTCACTGTACTACCAAGAAGTAGTCCCGTCCGCAATCTCTGCCCATGCTTTGTGGATGGTTTACTCAGAGTTGGAGGTCGTTTGAGCAATGCCAACATCAGCCTGACACACCATGAAGCATCCCGCCAGTCCTATTGCCAATGTAAGTCTCCTCTATCCCATCTGATTGTTTCGCGGATGTACACGAGACTAGGTCATGCTGGTAGAAACCATGTCCTGTCTGCACTAAAGAGAGAATTTTGATTACAAACGCTAATTCTGCTGTCAGAAGTATTTTGAACAAATGTGTACTTTGTAGGAGATTAAAGATGTCCACCGGTCAGCAGATTATGTCCGATCTCCGACCAACAGGGTACGCGTGTTTCATCTCCACCATTCACCTGCACTGGACTAGATTGTTTTGGCCCTCACAACCGCCAGAGAAGGACGCAAGGAAGTAAAGTTCGGTATGGTGTCCTGTTTACTTGCATGGTAAAGCAGAGCTGTTCACATAGAGACTGCCAACTCCTTAAATACAGACTCTTTTATTAATGCTCTTAGACGCTTTATCGCACCAAGCAGAGGAGCAGTCAAAGAGATCTCTTTGTGACAACGGCACAAACTTCACTAGTGGGGCCAAGGAACTTTGTCATGCACTTGATGAAATCGACCAGTCTGAAGTTCACAATTACTTGTTGAAACTGAACATCATCTGGAAATTCAACCCACCTTCAGCCAGTCATATGGGAGGTGTATGGGAAAGGCTGATATGGTCTGTCCGGTGGTGTTCTCAGCCCGCTTTCCAAGAATACAGTCAACGCCTTTGATGATGAGCCGTATAGAACACTCCTGTGTGAAGTTGAGTCGATTTTGAATTCCTGTGCCTCTGACAACAATGTCCAGTGATCCGCCAGATGTAGTGAACCATTGACACCCAACCATTTGCTGATGCGTAAGATCCAGCGCATATTCCACCACCTGGAGTATTTCCAGGCATCTGATGTCTCCACGCACGCCGATGGAGACGCAGTACAGTACTTGGCAGAGCTTTTCTGAGTAGATGGAGAAAGGAGTAATACCTTTAACACTTCAGAAACGTCAGAAATGGCAAGCTCCAAAAGGAACTTCAAGGTAAACGATATTGTTCTGGTCAAGGACGATAACCTCCCCCCAGGAATGCTTGGCTCATGGCTCAAGCGTTGTGGGATTACCTCCGAACCCTCATTCGTGCGCTTTGTCAGAAGTGTGACCCTCAAGACAAGAGGTTCAGATCTCCGAAGGCCAATCTACAAACTAGTATTGCTCTCGCACCTGCTGCAGAATAAGTTGATTATCTCAGGTATTAAGTGTTGTCAAGACCAGTTAGGTATTCCGCAAGATTATTGTATTGTTTTGTCTTAAACACCCTAGGTGTGTTTAACGGGCCGGGTGTGTTAATGCTAAATACAAGTTATGTTATATTCAGTAATGTTCAGCATTGTTAAACCAGGCATGAATGAGTGTATTGTCCGGTGGCCTAGTGGTTAACACATTAGACTTGTGATCCAAAGAGCTAGGGTTCAAATCCAGCGTAATGGCAAAACTTTGTAAATTTAATTAGTAAATATATAGCCTCATTTTCATTATTGATGGTCACATGACCTAACCCTTTGCACAAAAATCTTCATGCAAAAGGTTGATTCACTGTGCTATCCACATGGTCACTTGGCTTGTCTGCAAATCTCTCCGCATGGCAAACACAAATGTGAGTACTTTTAATCATACATTGTATAACTTTATATGACATTTGAATAGTATATGTTGTTGGAGTTATCATGGGAATATTTTGACCATTATTATTGTGTATTTTTGATAGAAAGCTGCTATTGAAGCTTACGTTACTCAAATGCGCTGTCGGACAATCTTCAAACATTTTACCTAACAATTTTGAATAGCTATATTTGATAATTATGAAATCCTATATTTGAAAAATTCAGAAAAGTTATATTTAAATGCTGTAATTGATGTATTAGCTAAAAGAATCATTTTGTTTCTTTTAGTTTCTTAAACCCTCATCGATGGACCGAGTCATGTCAACGATAATAAGCCAATGACTTGTCACCGACCCACCACCAAAAATCGTGAACATTAATAAATCCCTTCGTCGATGCGAAGTTTTCGAAGTTGTGTTCTTTGCATCTACAACTATTACATCCATACATTAATATTGTTGATAATGCTGATAGAAAGTCAAGCATTCTGATTGTCCTTGATTGCATAATTGCATACATTTGAAGGTAGACTAGTAAGTGTAAACAGTAAAATGGACGGCAGAAAGTTCAGCTATCATATTTGCTGAAAAATCATTCTTAAATTAGACTGGATCACAGAAATATTTCTGACACTTCGTATATATACTTTATTAAACTGTGTCAGTTCCCCAAATGGAAAAAATACCACACCAAAAACATACCATTCAGCAGAAGGCACAATTATCACCTGGTTACATACAAAACTGTCTGGTAAAATGTAAACTTCAAGGCACAGAACAGACTTTTAAAATGAATATCAAAGGTTTTACAAAAACAAAAATAAATAAATCTGCCACTGTATCCCCAAAATGCTGTCATTGATTTTTTTCTAAGAGTTTCATAAGTCTGAATAAGACTTGTTAACTATCTTCTGAGAGATGCATATTCTTGCCATTGTCTTGGGATGTTCTCTTTAAGTACAGAATCTGAAGAAAAGAAAAAGAAAGTGCAGTAAGGGAGATAACTCCATTCATTCACATGAGCCTGTTGTGGAACTTGACAAAATCAAAATCACGATCTGAAAATTAAATAACATAGCGATGTAAATGAGAATTTCTTTCAGTATCCATGCTCCCCACTTCAGCTGACTACATCTGTACATGCTAAGCTATGCCGCATTTAGCAATATGCCAGCAATATTATAGCAGGGCACACCAGAGAGGGGCTTCACACATTGTACCCATGTGGGGAATCGAACCCAACCAACTGGCCCCACTAAGCTAGAGAAGTACATAGTGCTAAAACAGACAACTCGTATTGCTTTCCTGTGTGTGTGTGTGTGTGTGTGTGTGTGCATGCGTGCGTGCTTTCTTTTCAAAAGGAAACAAACAATTACTTTATGACAGTACTTTGCAAAATAGTCAGCTAAGTGTTGAATCATATAATTTATATGCATTAATATGGCACTGGATTTGACCACTTTAAACATCAAGATACAGGTGAATGTTGGAGGGAATCCCAAAATGGTTGTTGACTGTTATGGCTATGGTGATCACATGGATATAAGACTTGACAAAGCAGGGATCAAATATGATTAGTGCAAATCTTGGATTCAAAAACAAAGTAAGCACATCTTTGCTCCAAAGAGATTTGAACCTACACTGAGTTGAGTCTCACTATGCTCCAAATTAGACAAAAATAATATGTGTATTATTTATGCCTAATTCTGTTCACCAATTGTATACTTAGTCATGTCATTTACTCACTGGCAGGTCTTCCTACAGAAGTCCTTTAAGAAGGAGTTGTAGTAGGTTCCATTGGGAGAGCAGCCCAGGGTTGTGTTGGACCAGAACCAGCAGGAGAAACTGGGAGACAGGTCAGAACAAGCTGAAACAAACAGAGACTGGTCAGTACACACAGAAATATACAGATACTCCCTGCAACACAGCTGTCACACTGGTGAATACACACTTCAACACAACTGTCAGACCGGGGAATACACACAGAGACAAACAGATACCGGTCAATACACACTGCAACACAGCTGTCAGACCGGTCAATACACACTGCAACAAAGCTGTCAGACCGGTCAATACACACTGCAACACAACTGCCAGATTTGTTTATAAACGGAGAAATACACATTTTTATTTTGTTTGCTTGACAATAAATGATTGCACTCCACGAAAATGATGGTGGTCAGTAAATAATTGAGTCAAGACAATCCAGCGATTGACATAGGTGTTGATCTCCACAGCTGGCACATGTTGACATGTATCAACCAAGTCAGCAAGCCTGACCACCGGATCCAATGAGTTGACTCTTATGACAGTTCACGACAACATGCTAACAAGGAAATGAATTTGCTGGTAGTGGTAACTTACATGTGCTGGGTGGGGTGGTGATGGGGGGACTCTCAGAACACTGCAGGTCAGGACAACATCCTGGAAAAGGCAGAGAGCTGTTGGCAACACTATGACAGTTGTCACTGTCCGGGTTTTCATCATTTGTGATCTCTCTACATCTGAAAAAGAAAACATGATTGATGGTAATGATTTCAATAAAAAGCCATGATGCCCTATCACTGTAATAATGAGTGAGAGAGTGAGTTTAGTTTTACGCTGCTTTTAGCAATATTCCAGCAATATCACGGCAGGGGACACCAGAAATGGGCTCCACAATGTAATGATGAAATATCAACATGAACAAAGGTTGTTACCCTCTGTTTTATTGTTTGATGTTTCACGTCACACTCAGTAATACTCCCGCTACGTGGTGGTCTCGTAGGTTGTAATAGCAGGATACAACCAGTGATTGATATTATGAAAAATGTATCATCAAGGTCTTTCTACTGTATTTCATCCAAAATCATTCTTCTACTTTTTGCAGTTTGAAACAGTTCTAACCAGCTTCAGAGACAGAGATTTGTGATGTATATATATTGTCTGGCGTGACGTAATACGTAGTGAGAGGGAAATAAGTCTACTCATAAATATGTCACTATTGAAACCTGACAAAACTGACCTCAGTTAATACTGAGTGAGTGAGTGAGTGTGGTTTTATGCTGCTTTTAGCATGTTTACCAATACTCTAGCAATATCACGGCAGGGGACACCAGAAATGGGTTTCCAAATTGTACCCATGTGGGGAATGGAACCCGGGTCTTCAGGGCGACGAGCGGATGCTTTAACCACTTAGGCCACCCCCCATCCTCCCACCCGCCCCTCAATTAATTGTGTGTCCCCATAGCTTAACATACACCATGCTATGGAACAGACTGATGTCACAATGCTCTCCAAAACTTTCTTAGCATAGTGTGTATTCCTAATGTAGAAAATATACATAGACACGCACGCAGGCACACCAAACATACTCTCAAGTTATTACCTATAATCATGATAATATTGTTGCTATATCTGGGCTGTTATAGCATGGATTTATCAAGTACATACCTCTTCGTATCAATTTTGATTACATGAACATGATGAAGTATCAACAATGTTTAACATGTATAAAATCTATCACAAAGAAAGCACTTTGTATCAATGTTTTATAGTCACTTTCGATAAGCCTTCAAGTGCATATCGACTACTTGTTGATTTGTCACCATATCCCATTTGTGTAGATCCATGGTCCTGACGTTTGATCACTGGACTGTCTGGTCCAGACTCGATTATTTACAGACTGCTGCCATATAAATGGTGTATTTCTGAGTGAAGTGTTAAACAACAAACAAAACTTGTTTATTCAGCATATTCCTTATAAGGTCATCGGTATAATTGTATCATAATGTTACTCACCGCTCAACAATGAGATAGTTGCCTGATGGAGCAATGATGTTTATTCAGGATATTCCTTAAGTCATCGGTATAATTGTATCATAATGTTACTCACCGCTCAACAATGAGATAGTTGCCTGAAGGAGTAATGATGTTTATTCAGGATATTCCTTAAGTCATCGGTATAATTGTATCATAATGTTACTCAATCCTACCAACAATGAGATAGTTGCCTGATGGAGCAATGATGTTTATTCAGGATATTCCTTAAGTCATCGGTATAATTGTGTATATAATGTTACTCACCATCAACAACAATGAGATACTAGTAGTTGCCTGATGGAGCAATGTTTATTCAGGATATTCCTTAAGTCATCGGTATAATTGTGTTATAATATTACTCACCGCTCAACAATGAGATAGTTGCCTGATGGAGTAATGATGTTTATTTAGGATATTCCTTAAGTCAGCGGTATAATTGTGTTATAATGTTACTCACGGCAATGATGAGATAGTTGCCTGATGGAGCAATGATGTTTATTTAGGATATTCCTTAAGTCATCGGTATAATTGTTATAATGTTACTCACCGCTAAACAATGAGATAGTTGCCTGATGGAGTAATGATGTTTATTCAGGATATTCCTTAAGTCATCGGTATAATTGTATCATAATGTTACTCGCCGCTCAACAATGAGATAGTTGCCTGATGGAGCAATGATGTTTATTCAGGATATTCCTTAAGTCATCGGTATAATTATGTTAGAATGTTACTGACCGCTCAACAATGAGATAGTTGCCTGATGGAGCAATGATGTTTATTTAGGATATTCCTTAAGTCATCGGTATAATTGTTATAATGTTACTCACCGCTAAACAATGAGATAGTTGCCTGATGGAGTAATGATGTTTATTCAGGATATTCCTTAAGTCATCGGTATAATTGTGTTATAATGTTACTCACCGCTCAACAATGAGATAGTTGCCTGATGGAGCAATGATGTTTATTCAGGATATTCCTTAAGTCATCGGTATAATTATGTTATAATGTTACTGACCGCTCAACAATGAGATAGTTGCCTGATGGAGCAATGATGTTTATTCAGGATATTCCTTAAGTCATCGGTATAATTATGTTATAATGTTACTGACCGCTCAACAATGAGATAGTTGCCTGATGGAGTAATGATGTTTATTCAGGATATTCCTTAAGTCATCGGTATAATTGTTATAATGTTACTCACCGCTAAACAATGAGATAGTTGCCTGATGGAGTAATGATGTTTATTCAGGATATTCCTTAAGTCATCGGTATAATTGTATCATAATGTTACTCACCGCTAAACAATGAGATAGTTGCCTGATGGAGTAATGATGTTTATTCAGGATATTCCTTAAGTCATCGGTATAATTGTATCATAATGTTACTCACCGCTCAACAATGAGATAGTTGCCTGATGGAGCAATGATGTTTATTCAGGATATTCCTTAAGTCATCGGGTATAATTGTGTTATAATGTTACTCACACCACCAACAATGAGATAGTTGCCTGATGGAGCAATGATGTTTACTCAGGATATTCCTTAAGTCATCGGTATAATTATGTTATAATGTTACTGACCGCTCAACAATGAGATAGTTGCCTGATGGAGTAATGATGTTTATTCAGGATATTCCTTAAGTCATCGGTATAATTGTTATAATGTTACTGACCGCTCAACAATGAGATAGTTGCCTGATGGAGTAATGATGTTTATTCAGGATATTCCTTAAGTCATCGGTATAATTGTATCATAATGTTACTCACCGCTAAACAATGAGATAGTTGCCTGATGGAGTAATGATGTTTATTCAGGATATTCCTTAAGTCATCGGTATAATTGTATCATAATGTTACTCACCGCTCAACAATGAGATAGTTGCCTGATGGAGCAATGATGTTTATTCAGGATATTCCTTAAGTCATCGGTATAATTGTGTTATAATGTTACTCACCGCTCAACAATGAGATAGTTGCCTGATGGAGCAATGATGTTTACTCAGGATATTCCTTAAGTCATCGGTATAATTATGTTATAATGTTACTGACCGCTCAACAATGAGATAGTTGCCTGATGGAGCAATGATGTTTATTCAGGATATTCCTTAAGTCATCGGTATAATTGTGTTATAATGTTACTCACGCTCAACAATGAGATAGTTGCCTGATGGAGCAATGATGTTTATTCAGGATATTCCTTAAGTCATCGGTATAATTGTATTATAATGTTACTCACCACTCAACAATGAGATAGTTGCCTGATGGAGCAATGATGTTTATTCAGGATATTCCTTAAGTCATCGGTATAATTGTGTTATAATGTTACTCACCGCTCAACAATGAGATAGTTGCCTGATGGAGCAATGATGTTTATTTAGGATATTCCTTAAGTCATCGGTATAATTGTGTTATAATGTTACTCACCGCTCAACAATGAGATAGTTGCCTGATGGTACAATGATGCAGATGTTCTTGTCACATGCTCCAGCTGACGAGGGCCAAGTGTCCTCGTGACCTTGTTGGACTCCCAGGTAATCCTTGCAGTTACCTACATCATTTCCATACAACACTTCAATTTACATATCTGGTTTCCATGGTTACAGTGAATACTGGAAAATGTGATGGCGTTCAGTTATTTGTGTATAACATGTAAAGCAAATTATGTTGAAGTTGAATTTCACTTTCTTGTGGCCATTGTACTTTGATATTGATCTAGTCCAACATATAACTAGACGACTTTGCACTATCAAGGTGTGCTCGATGTAGGCCTTGGCTGGAATATGAGTTTATTCATGTGAACTGATATTGATCAAACATATTTTGGAACTATACCTTTGTACGTTATATACTAACCACTTTATACGTTCTTTAACGGTAACATATTCCATCTTGAAGCTTACTCTAAAACTCGTCTTTCACATAAAATGGCGTCTTCATTGTCACATCAGTTTCTCCGACAAGGCGTAAAAATTCAAGTTTTCTAGAACCACTCGGAGACCCATAATTACCTCTCGTGACAGTGTCGTTAACATACACCTGTTACGCCCATTTCACCCAAGACCAGTATCTATCCCAACACGAAAGGAATCAAACTACAGTAGGCAGTGTTGGTTTTCACGAAATAAGCCAAGATAAAATCGATACCCCGACCGAGTAGAGAAATTCAAAGATACTTTGAGACAAGTATTCGTAAACAAAGATATAGTTTACCTGTGAGTTTTTCTTGAGTTCTTATCGTTGCTGTATTACCCGCAGAGGCAGTCAGTTGTGTCAAAACGAAGAGTAAAGTCGTAAAGATAATCTGAAAGCAGAAGCGTTTGCTCCATTGCGAGTCATTTCCTTCTTCGACCGCCATGTTGTTTACATCAACCTCAAGGACCTGTGCACTCGATAACAATATCTACGTTTATAATATTTCTTCTTTAATATGTCTTTCTTCAATACCAGTCTGGCTCAATGAATTTGGTATCTGGTAATAATTCAACCGTTTTGGTTAAATTCGTATCTATGAGAAATGAATTTGAGGTCGTATCTGTGGTGACAGGGGAAGTAACTCCTACCAAACCATAGATTCTTCAGACCAGGGTCCCCCCAAAATCTACGTTTTTTTGTGTATACAGCTCCGTAATTAGTACTATATTTAGATAGAGATAAGCAAGTTCTGCTCATGTTCCGCGTGTGAGTCAAATTATTGCGCATGCTCAAACCAAAATAATGTATGCTTGTCAACCTTCGGGTATCAATCAGTACGAACCAGGCACATTCTTTAACCATGAACTCATCACCATGAAAGTGAAACAAACTCGAACACCAAATTTATGATAAAAAATTTATTTTGACATTTTTGATACACGTTGCTAAAGTGTGTAGAAACATGTCACTCAAAACTGTAATTGTATGTACAGTACACCACACAATCCTGTAACATTGCAGCAAAAATATCAACATCTCATGTTGTGTGATTACCCAACTCACAAAACGTGAACTCTTTGTACATCATTGGAATCATTGGAATTAAACAAACTCTGCAAAGCAACTCTCAAAATAATAAAATATGACAAATCCCCAAAATAGTTTACCATAAAATATACACACTTTGTTGAATATCTTTCAAAACCTGCAACTCATTTCAATTTAAAATACTGGGAAAATATAATCCTGTTTTGTTTAAGTCCCTTGTGACTATACTTATGAAACCTAACATTTAACTTCTTCATTACAACTGGAAACTAATTACTTTCATAAAACTAAACACATACATGTAATCCCCCAAACAAAAAAGCTTTATACACATCTAAAAATATTTGACAAAAGGTATTTTCATTTTACCCCCCTTTGAGATCACAAGTTCTTAACATAAATATCTATCTACACAACAATGAAGAGAGTTTGTCCACTGTAATAATATGAAATGAACATAAATATATCATACAACGATGAAATAATTCCTATTTTTGAAATCGGAATACTTGCTATAACCACCTTTTTTCAACTAATCTTACTAATAATAACTAATTAGAAACTACCTGGTACATTAAAAACTGACCCATTTTAGTTTCTAAGTTGTGGAGACACTACTATCATAATGTTCTATCTCACTTTTATGTGAATTGATTTATGCTCAATTTCATTGAGTCGTCACGTGGTTCATCCCACCCACACACATACTTTCATTATATATGCATTCAGAGATGACCACTGAAAATGACAATCTCCTCACAAGTTTACTTAGTAGTCTTCCACAGAAGGAGAATTACACAAGCAGACTAAAAATGTCTACAAATTCTTAGGTCGTTGTAAAATTTTGACCAAGTATAATATATGGACACTTTGATTCCTTACTTACCAGGACCTAAATTCAAACATATGCCAGAGAAATGTCTAAAGGTGTACATATTTGTACATATCTTTTATTTTATTTATTGTTATTTTATGCATAAAATTACATGAATATAATTTCTCAAGCCAAATGTCAAATTTAAGGAAATCAAAAGAAAAAACCTAAAACAATGCTTGTTAAAAAAAATCACAAAAATAAAACGTGCCAATTTCATATTCGTTATTGGAAAATACGATTTGGTGCAACATGCTTTTATATAATTTCAATACTGTGGGAATTGGTGCACATATCAGTGAGGATCTTAGAATGATGCTTGTAGTGAATTAATTTGTCCATTTATCACTGCACATGTATCTCTGAGTCTGATGTGTATTGTGTAACTTTGTGTAAGGGCAGCCAAAATTGTTGTTTTAATAAGAGCACTGTATATTTGTGAGACCAAATATTTCACCTGGAAAATAATGACTGAAGGAAATATAGTTAAGAATTTTGACTTAAAAAATAATGGATATGATTTAATGACTACTGAACATTTAAACAATATCAATTTCATAGTCCAGACCATGAATGCATCTCACATTTTCCTTCCTTCAACTATGAAAATAAATAATTATTTACATTTATAAGAAACATATAGCACAAAAACAACATTCCAGAATTCTTGTCAGCTTAAATCTCCACACTTCAATAACTTTCCTGGATTAGGAATGACACATCACCAATTTGAAGCACATCCTGCTTGAACCATAACAATACAAAAAGGCTTTTTGATTGGGCAAACATGTATCTGTGCAGGGCAAATGATTGGCTGTATTCAGGAATAGGTTTTATTAAGAGTTTCACTGATCAAAGGTGATACAACAAAAGGCCAGGGGCCAGTTCCTCAAAACATCATTCTCCATTGGTATTATTCATGTAAGTGCAACAGAGATAATATTCATAAATTCAATTTCAATAACCTTTAATCAATCAAACCTGGCTACACAAATCTGTGAACACTATCCATATCAAATATCATGGCTTTAATGATCATGAGAGAATAAAGTTTACAAAAACTTTTTTTTACCATTGATCTATGCCCGAATAGTATTATAGTGGGAATTAAGGAGATGCAGTGTACCCACCCTTATGCAAAAAGCAACATGTTTCAGGTAATGTCATGAAAATTATCAGAGCCTTAGAGAGAATGATTCAGGAACTTATTCGTCACATCACTGCAGTTTTCATGTAAGTGTGGAGACTGACAACAGGAATTCATGAATGAGAAAACGAGAGAATTTACAGCATGTTTATAGAATATATACACTCATGGACATATTCACAGAAAAAGGTAACAGCACTGTTGCTATGGAAACATACAAATGTACAGTAAGTACAGGTACAACACCCTACATGGGTCACAGGCTGGGATGTAAAAACAGTATCTTCATCAAGTCCCTCAATGCCTGTCTGTATTTATTACATTACTCAAAAATAAACATTACATATTCCATTAAGTTTGAATTACAATAACTTAAACAACTAAAGTCCAATTTTGAATAATACATATATTTCCTTTTCATGAAAAGCTTTCAATCAAAATTTATTGTATAATTGATTGTGCAAGAAATCTACTTTGAAATGGAATGAAATTACGAGAGTCCCACCCTGACAGCATTCCAATTTCTGCAATTAAATGTTTTCATCTATCAAGTTATGATAAAGTGACATTTCTTGGAAACATTAAGCATTTTCACTTTCAAAAACAGGTCAGTTTGGAAACATTTAAATTGAAAAAAACAAAACAACCCAAAACATTCAAAACTGTATGTGAGAATCTGCCCATCCCTGCCCATGACTCCACTGTATGTCTGCTGAGGAAAGGTATAAGTTTAAATGCATATGTGTGTGGCAGACCCTGAGATTGCCTGAATGCATACATGTACACAATCTGAGACATCCAGAACACTCATTCACCATGTACAGAACATGCACAACATCGGCACAGAACAAAAGGAACCAGGTTTGGAATGGAACCTTTAATAGTCACCCAGTCTCACATCCTGGCTTACCTTACGTTCATCCTTAATAAAAAACATCTCCAGCTGAAGTTCACGACGCATGTCTACCACACATGGATCTCGCCAGTCCAAATTCTAGAAAACTAGTTTTGACATAATCCCAGTTTTACTTCAGCAATGTTCTGAAAGTTGTCATTCTGCCTTTCCGGTATTCCTGGACAAACTTCACAATGTGCCATATTTGAAAAATACCGCCTTTGAATACTACAGTGAACCACTCAACAAAGACAGCTTAGCTTGGGAGTTAACTTTTTAATGCGATAGCTGAATCTATTATTTTGATCCATTTTGCTATTAGAAACAAATGAAAAAAACTTGAATATGCCTCCATCATATCTCTGGATCATCGACACCCAGTGTTTCTGTGCTAAGATATGTGTTACATGACCTTAAAAGTGGAAAACATTCGACTTTAACTCTTTGATGTAACCACTATCTTCTACAATAATATTATCTGTATTTCAACTCCTAATTCCTTGCTGCTATTACACAACTCAAAAGGATTAAAAGGATTCCCAATTTCTGGGTTTGAAACTCCCACAATTTTCAGCCAGACAGGGCTGGTTAGATGTAAACTTGCCAGCCCTGACCAAAACTTACCTGCCCACAAAATATCTTCAGATACATGTCTAATTTTAACCCAACCGTCGGGCAGGTGAATTTGAGAATCTGGCAGTCCGTGTTGAAAATAACCCGTCCCGGGCGGTCGGGCAGGCAGGTATTTTGAACGTTTCTAATTTTCATATTACTGTAGCTTATATGTCAGGGCTGATCAGCAATAGCAAATTCCAAGAATCAGGTGATCTTAAAATTCTTTTGAGTAAAATATAATTACACTTAAAATGAAAACCTTGTTCTGCCTTCAAATAAACATGGTGTGATCATCACTCCAAAGATTCTGTGTTGGACCAGGCCACTCACTGAGTGTGCTGGTAAATACATTTTTTCAACTGCCTTCACCAATATTCTGGCAACAACTGGTCACCAGGAAAGGGCTTCTTCTATTGTTTAATGCGAGAATTCGAACCCAGGTTTTTGTATGATAGGCAACCGCTTTAACCACTAGGCTACCCCACCATCCCTCTTCTTTAGTGAATTTTCTACCGGTACCAGGAGTAGATGTATGAGGGCAAGAAAACATGACGATGAAACAGGCCAGAGTTAAGTACAGAGAAGAACAATTAACAAAAAGAATAATTGATACTTCAAGTTATCCTGAAAATATCTCGCTGATAATAACTGTATTCCAAAAACATAATGCTATTGAAATAAGAAATAGGGTTGACACTGTGTAAGTATGCACACCTTCAAAGACAACATTGGTTTTCAGATTTTAAAAACTTATAGTTAGGATCATTCATACCCCCAAAACTTGTCTGAGACCTTCGTATGAAACGACACATAAATGTCCACTGAGCATGTAAAAGTGATGAAGGAACAGTATATACAATCCTGTGAACTTTTAACCAGGATATTTTAATATATTCAGAATTTGAAAAGTGTCCATTCTCCCAAAAATAAGTTAATGATCTAGAAAATTATGTGAATGCTGTTACACTTCTTGCAACCTAACAGCATGCAACCGATTGATCGATATGACCTGACTGCAGAAACTATAATAACCCATTCAAGCTGCTGGTTCCTGCCAGTCACCGTTTCTACTTTCAAACCACTTCCCTGTCATTAGCCAGCCAGAACATAACATATATCCATGTACACAACAGGTGCTGACAACAACTAACACATACAATATCAGCAGTTGATTCTTGTGATAAAACTTGATGGCAACCATGTAACATACAACTTTCCAAGTTTCAGAACTTTGAAAAACAGTATTTTCAAAGTGATCAAGTAGGTGTGTGCACGTTCCTTTCAGTCTCTCCAGCAGATTACATAACAACCTCATGTTCTCTTTACGTCCACATTGTTGGGTTTTCATTTATTTCCTTCCACACAAAAATCAGCTGATAAGCTTCACATTTAAGCCCCAGTAGATGGGTGTATTGGGACAATAGCCTCTCCTGTCTTGAAATGAATGTGTATCGTGATCATAGCCCCATGTCATCATTTGTCATCTGTACATGTTCAAATGTAAATGGATAAACAAACATGTTACTAATGAAAGTTAAATATATTTAGAACCTGCCTACATTGGAGTTTTAATGACTGAAAACTCAAAAAGAGAATTACTCAAAAAGAAAGTAATTAGTATACCTATATTGCCAGTTTGAGCAAATATACCGGTATATTATGTTGACAAGTACACATTAACATTGTTTCTAGGAGTAATCATGGTCAGTCTTGATTGAGGTATGTGACTTCAGTAATCAAATAATTACAGGGGTATATATTAAATACATACATTCCTGGCACAGTAATCAAGTCAACCCCGGGGTCTATATTAATCATACACCTTCCTCACATACTAATCAATACAAAATCCACACTGTGTTGTATGACAATGCTGGTTTTAAAATCATAATGCATGATCGTTGATGATTCACCGGATTGATGATTTTATTTTTTACTCCTAAAAATGTAAAATGATTTTGTTCTGCACTTCATGTATATTCATATTACAATGAAATTGAAATACAAGACCTACAGAAAATCCCCTGTTATTCATGTCATGGCCAGTACATAAGTTCAACCCAACTGATGCATACATAAAATATGAATGAGTCTGGCCAAATCCATCTCTAAGCCATATTTACGTTTAGAATTTTAAGTTTTGGTTATTGTTCCAAATTGTTCAGGTTGATGTGAAATTAAATTGCAGTATGATTTAGTCTTTAAACCATAGGCAAGGGTATGATGATCAGCAAGAGACATTTACTTAGGATGAATCTGCTAGTCGGACCAAATACCAGACATTTCTGCAATGCTTGGGGGAGACAACTCTCTACAGTGAAGTGCGGCATCACATTTCCCACTAATAACCACAACTATTTAGAAATAAAAGAAATATTGTGCTTAAATGTGTTTGAAAGACTTGCCATGATAAAACCATGTTGGAAATCTAAACTACTCTTGTCAAACTTTAAACTTTATAAAAAAAATATTACTCGCTAACAATAATCTATTATTTGCATTGGTCATTGGGGAGCTAAAGTAAATAATATAACACACAGTACTCTACTGACACCTAAACCGATAGTATGAAGGCAGAACCGTGTTTAAACAGAGTTGATTACATTTCATCATTATATTATATTTAGAATATAAGTTTACCCATGTGATAAAAAAGATTTTTGTGTTAACTATACTTTGCCCAAACATTTTTCCAGGGTTTAAGAAAAGAGTAACAGAGAGGATCATAACTAAAGTAAAACTAGAAATTGAGGCTACCTCATTGCTAAGGGACACAACTCTGTACTACACGCTAACACCTTGGATCACTCTTGCCCTATTCAGATGGATGGATGTTTGAATTTTTCTAAATATGTGACACAGTAGTTCTAGACCCCAGGTCCTACACTATTTAGGTGAAGTAAAAATAATACTGTATTTGAGTTCTGTAATCATGTTAACGATGTAAAAGAAAATTATGTTCCACCCATATATGCGCCCCTAATTCAAGCACTGCCCCAGTTTCTATATTTGTTAATATGGAAGTCCTTAACATCATTGGGAAAGAAGAAGCTATGGTAAAGAAACCATTATGTAAGGTACACTGAAACGACACTTGATAGTACACTATTGATAAACACTTCCACTCAGATCTTCATGTGATGGTTGGGATGTTATACATGATTCAACAGATTGTGCAAGGTCAACAAATTAACAAACTCGTAGTAAAGACTGTGTTATGTTGTGATGAGGCAGGTAACACAGAGCCGAGACGGACCGATGCAGTCATCGTGACAGAAAGCACCACATTTCTTGCACATAACCATAGCCTTGAGACTGCAGGCACACGATGAAGGATTAATAGTCGGCGTGCCTTCAGACACTGAAGTCGCTGTCACCGTCGTTCCAACCGCCGTTGATGTAAGCGGCTGCAACATCACGGTAGTCATGTTTGAAGCAGCGGTTATCATTTGCACATTAGGTATTGCTGAGGTTGTAGCCATTATTGACACTTTTGGGTTGGCAAGTAAGTTAGCCACTTGGGTCTCCACGCTATTTGATACAATGGAAGATGTCACTGGCTGGGCACTGCTAGCCGCAGTAGTCTGGTTGCTTCGAAGGGCGACAGTCTGCACACTGAAGCTTCCAGACACTACCGACTGTGGGTTGGGCTTACTATTGCCTTTCCCCACAATAGAAGCAGGTCGAACTACGAAGCGTGGAGACCCATCACGACCTGCTTGAGTAGGAGTGCCAGCTTTGGATAAAAAATTAACTTCTTCAGAACTTAAGTTGAGGCTTACTTCTCCCTGATTGTTTCCCGTCTGATTTGAGGCGTCACCCCCAACACTCGCCGATCTCACAATTGTCACAACTTCTGGTTTGTTCTGAGTAGGCGGAGCGCTAGAGGCCCGGGGAGGTGTGCTGCTGGCCAACATCGCCCGAAGATTCTCGTGTGTGAGGACGCACCGGACACCAGACGAAGTCCCACCAGTGTACACCTTGCCTGTAGTGGCAGATGAAGCTTGCACCGAGTTGGTCAGTGTTTTTGTACTGTTTGCACCAGCACCGGTTACCACTGTACTTGAGGGGGCACTCACAACCAGCACCGTGTTAGGATCTAAAGAGTTGTTGGATGTCACAATCAGAATCTGTTTTCCTTCTGTGCTCCCGGATGAAGAGACCGATGGGACCGTCAAAACCCTGGTAGGAGATGCTGTTCCGGAGGTCAGCGATGCTGCAGGGCTCGCGGTCGATCGACTTGCTTCTCCGTCTGACTGGACGCTTTGATCTGACTGACTGCCGGACTGAGAGAACAGCAGTTTTGAGGCACTCATTTGGCTCTGTTGCGGCCCAGTCACAGGACCAGGACTGTTCACTTTCACAATACTTTTCTCATATTCAGCCTGACAAATAGCCAATGATCTTTGCAAGTTGATACCATTATTGGGTTCAGTCTTAACAGGGGTTGCAGTTTTAGACGGTGTCTTTGGCCGTCCAGTGGAGGTTAACAAGATATTGGGATGATTCTTGGACAGGGCAGGACTCAAGGATGGTGCTGGGCGTTGCTCAGTAGTAGTAGGAGGCACAACTGTAGCAGTAGCCTGCTGAGCACGGGCCCGAGTCTGAGCCTTAATCTGAGCCAAGGTCCTTGTTTGTGCCTGGGCTGGGACTCTCCCTACAGGGGGACTAGGACTCGTCAACAGGCTCCTTACTGATGAGTTTTGGGACACATTAGTTGAAGACCTGGTCTGAGGTGGGGAGATGATTGACACAGTTGTCTGAGCTTTAGCAGCTTGAGTCCGAGCTTTGATCTGAGCTAAAGTCCTTGTCTGCCCAGCAACCTTAATAATTCCTGGGGTGGTAACAACAGAACCAGTTGGAACAGACTTAGCTGGTGAAACTTCAGTCAAATCTGGAGGAGTGTTCGTTAAAGCTGTCCGTAACGGACTGACAGGCTCAGCTGACTGTGACTTCTGACTCCGAGCAGCCTCAGTCTGAGCCTTGATCTGAGCCAGTGTCTTAGCCTGAGCTTGCCGCTGACTGGGGGACAATCTTTGCTTTTTAGCTGGTGTTGGGCTTACTTCAGCCTTGTCTACTTTGGTCAATGAAGCTGCAGCATTGGCAGTGGTGGATGTGACGGTTGCGGTCACTGATGTTGAGACAGTGGTCAGCAGTCCCACCTGGGCACTGGATGCTGTAGAAATGCTGTTGGTTATACTATGTGATCCGGCTGGCATCACTGACTCCACACTTGCTGCTACAGCCTTGGACAAAGACTTGTGGCGCAACATGGATGACACCAACATGCTTCGTTTATGAGCTGTATTCTTCTTGGCAGCAGGCAAGGAGTTCACAGGTTTGATAGGTGATGGTCCAGTTGCTTTTGGCACATCCTTTTGTATCCTGCGAGAAGAGACAAAACACATATCACTACATCAAATAATGAAATTGATAGAATGACTATGTCGGTTATCAAAAGACGGCGTAAAAAGCTGACTTTATCATATACTTGTTTTTAATGCCACATTCAGCAATATTCCAGTTATATGAAGCCAGTGAATCTCACAACCAGATTGCCGTTGTACAAAGTGATCTTAGCGCTAAGGTGACCGCTAAGGTGACCGTGAAGTTGACCGTAACTCCCATACCTTAACATAGACTTAAGGTAGTCATAGCGCTAAGGTTGTGTTGTACAACAGCACCCTGATCCATTTGGTTGGCTATTGTGACCAGCATAGGTTGCTGGCTATCAATTCTAACCTGAAATCCCTACTGGGGATTACTATCATGTGTGATAAACCTGAAACAATCACTTAGTTCATAGCGAAAAAACACGACCAAGAACTCACCTTTGTCCCCAGAAAGTCTCAAAATGTTTAGCCTGAAACATGACAATGGCATTGGTTAAGATAAAAGTTTTCAACTATTTTGAAAAAAACTTAAGGATACCTAAAATTATGATAGGAATAGCTGGTACAGCTTTTAAATAATATGGAACCATGGTAAACCGTGCAGCTGTCTTTCTTGTAGAGAATGACCGATGGGGAAGGGGAGATAATGTTTACATTACCTCCCTGTATACATTTACAACCAATATATATATATATATACAAACCAAATGTCACACACTTTCCAACAAAAGTTATGGATCACAACTATTTTGGGGGTTCTATTTTTAGTAGTGGAGATTGTACTTATAATTTCAGAAAAATATCCCTTCAGTGTACAATGACATTGAAACTTCTTGAGCAGTTCCTAAGCTGTTCTCAAAGAACGCGTTTTTCAATTTAAATATTCTCTGTGGGAATGTATTATTCATTTTAGTTTCAAGACACTGTCTACCAACTCCTCACCTTCCATGGGTCAAGTTTGGTCTGTTCCCTCTCCTCCTCTTGCTTCAAGCGCTGCATGTTTTCTGGAGTAAACTCACCTGAAATAACACAATTACTATCAGGAGGGTCACACAACATGTTGCATCTCTTACACATATTTAGTGAAAATGGAGGCATATAAGGTACCTTTTGAGCCCTGCAGCCAAAGAATTAGAGCTGTCAAAATAGATGATAATATGTTACATATTAGCGACATTTCTATTCTAGTAAGAAAAACACTCAAGGTTAAGGGCATCAATGGTGTATTTTCTTCAGTCCAGCATAGTAATCCTCATCCTTCATAGGACTAATTAAGGCTGTAACGATTCACTCGCATATTCGGTGAATTGAACCGTAGCCCTTCATGAATTCAATTCGTTATTCGTGGTCACCAGAACCGAATATTCATGAATATTTAAAAAAATTGAAGGGAGTGTGATTTACTTGAAGGTTTATGTCCTTTTTCAAAACGAGATATGCAAGAATGCAATATGTACTAGCCTTGTAGTAGCCCAAGTCATGTTAGTTTGCAAAGCCTGCACATGTTACTGTCAACTATAACTATTACATACCAAATTTGAGTGTCATGAGATCACTGGTTATTGCTGTGACAAATTAACACTGTGAACATGGGCGTTCCATATTATAAGTCAATCACTTAACTACAATATTGTATTCATGAATAATTATTCGTATTCGTTACCTAATATTTGTGATACATATCATATTCGCAACATAGCGTATTCGTTACAGCCCTAGGACCAATGCTTCTAAGTATGTTCAATGATATGCATCGACAAGATTCTTGGAAATCAAGTGAAGCATACCACATATGAAAGGTAGGGATCACCTTGTTCTTGCCTTGAATCCCCAAATTACTACTGAGAAACCCCATATTAATCAAATCTGACATACCAACACAAACCCTGCAGACGAACTATCTGAAAGGTAAAGCCGTTCCAATTAATCAGCTGCAACAATAATTTACAGGTTTCAGCTCCCACAAAAGAACTGACTGTTTTTGTCAGAGGGTGCTAATTAGTACTTCATATCTCACCTTCCGACAACCTTTCTCTCCACTCCTGCTGTGCTTTGGCAAAGAACTCATTATTCAATGCTGTTGGACTGATGCTGTGTAAAAACAACAAAAAAGTTTTAATATTTCACATTATTATTTTGTACCTCTATTTAAAATACACAATAATACAGAGAATAAGTAGTTGGTACAATTTCTCAGTTCACAAAATCTTGTACATATATGCACCATGCACAGATACAAATGTCTTCAGCAGATGTTCAAGTTACAGATCAAACAAGATCAATAGTATATCACTACCACAATCCCTCATCTCCAGGGTTCCTAGCACTTCCTACCTGAGTGAGTTCTCTGTGTCGGGGAGTTTGTCACATTCAGGCAACAGTGTGATGAGTTTGTACCGGTATGCTGCAGGCAGCATGTTGAAAGTGTCATAGTTTAATAATGCCTGCAAACAGAAGAATTACGTTGTATTATGAACCTCCAGTGATGTCACTCTATTGTCTCACCAGGCTCTCCTTTTACCGAGTAAACCTCTGCAGGTAGTTTCGTGGGCATTCTCCAAGATATCCCATGGATTTTCTACAGAATTGCTCGCATCCCGGGGATTTTCTGAGGAATAGCCCTTGACATTGAATTATTACTTGCTTTGAAGATTGATCTAACTTCGTCTTGCTATCACTGAATTCGATTGTAAAATATCACATTATTGAAAACTTCCAATATGTAGTGCCGCTGTCTGGTTTCGAACCCGCTACTCTTTGCTTACTAGCTTGGCGATCCACAGCTACGAAGGATCGCTGTGAAGAATGAGATTGTTTGTCAGTATGAGCCATGTGTTCATCAAGACGGGAAGTGCGGGCAGCGCACATGCAGGACACGGGTAGCGCATGCAGAGCACGTGCATTGCGCGTGCAAGGCAAGGTGGCTCCCAGTCGCAAACCCAGTTGATTTCAACAGTAAATACCAAATATCAAAATTATGTCTATAATATATCTTCGGTCAGTTCATAAGTTGGAGTCGGTGTTGATCCTTTACACCTACCTTGTGCTGGAATGCAAATAGGACAAGAATGTCCACTAGCCCACATATTGACAAAACATAGCAATACCCATGAAAATGTTTGAGATTCTACTTGCCCTCTGAACAAACGCGGCCTTGGTTGGATGTCTAGTGTTAATTTCATCCTGATAATAATGACGACAGTAGTTATGTTGTCTTCACACGGGATGTAATTTACCAGTGTGAGCTTCAAAGCGCAAGAAGAAGCCACCATGACGACGATGCTGTTTTTCATGAGGAAAAACTTGACAACATATTGTTAACATGTATTTTTGTTATCAATTACTTCCTGGTGACAACTAGATATCCTAGAACACTCATCAGTCTATTGAAGAGAGTCAGAAGTAGAGTCTAGCAAAACGACCTCATTACTGCATGTACTCAAACCAACATGATAGTTGTAGGCCAAATGTTAGAAAAGTCCCTATCTTTTAGGATCTCTCAGCAGCAGTAAAAGCGTTATCCAGTAATTGGTATGACAAATCCCACCCTCCAGAGATTCTTGTCAATGTGGAACTAGACACAGAATGTATCAGGTTGCTGAAAACAAACAAGGTTTACCCCGCTGTTGAAACAGTGTCCACATGTTCATAGACCAACTGCATGAGTATTAACTGCTCGTTTTAATGGAAGTCGACAAGCACTGATGTTCAACATGATCAGGATATGCAGTATGGGTGACAAGGCCTGGTGTATCATATTACCTGATAATGATGTTATCTCTACATTTGGCCTAGGAGTAATGAGAGGCAAGTGAGGGATAGCAGAATTTTGCACAAACGGTCTCTGATTTGCAAATTGGGACAAAACTAACTTTGACTTTTTCAAAGTTCATACAATTACCGAAGGTATTTTAACATCACATTATAACATTGTATTTATCATAAAATTACAGGGCTCCAGATAACTTTTGGGGGTGCGAGTGTACTTACACATCATATTGCAAGTGGAGGTGTACTGAGAATTTTGAGGAGTACTGACATGTTTTTGTGTGAGCGAGTTGGTGATGTGGTTTGTCTGGACGATTCATCGATCACTATTTCCAACCATGTATTGGTATTTGAAGATTGCGTGAGAAATAACTGAGCGACCGTGTGATGCGCGAAATGTCAGGTCCAACTGGATATAAATAGGAACAGTGTAGTTTTTAGCCAATCGAAAAATAGTGACGCATATCGTTGCATGGCAACGCAAGGGATTCCTACTGTCGGGGTTTCCTCATGTGTCAAATCGTGTTTCGCAAAAGAAAATTGACAAGTATTTATCCGAAATAGATTTCCATTTGCACGATACGCACGGAAATTAAATGTTAGACGTACAAACGTATTTATGTGCGTACACGATACGCTTGAAATCTTATATCATGTCGTACTTAATTGATTTTGAGGCGTACATTACGCCTGTACACCCCTTATCTGTAGCCCTGAAATTAAACTTAAAATTTGGAAATTTTAATATAAATTGTATATTTATATACTTATCCTATCTCACGACTTGCACCTCTCTCTCTTGCTTCGACTTTTAGTGGAATGACTGTAAACTTTTTTCCATAGGCCTCCTTGTCCATTCGCCCGTGCACTCCATGCTGTTCTCCTTAATTAGCTTCCTAGTTCCTAATAAAGCTTGCAGCATGCTCCACTAATTGCCCACGTGACTACCTTGAATGATCATTCTCATCTTGGAGCCAACGTTGTAATCTGAGTAGTGGGGAGGCCGGGCGGGCACCCATCGCGTGAGATAGGATAAGTATATAAATATACAATTTATATAAAAATTTCCACATTTTTAAACTTATCCTATCTCACGACTTATCCGATGGTTGGACAGCGGGCCGCAGATTACCCTTCTGTCTGGACAGTGCGAACAGCTGGTCTTGGAGCTGTGTGGACTGATGACAACCGTAGATAGCGATGTACAAGGGAGGCCTGTTACGCATGCGTGCAACTCCTATGCTTGTAGTGGGTTCTCCGGAATCCCTTGGATTACTAAGAACAAAGACTCCCAGGGAGATGGGTGCTCCCGAGCGATGTGGTGTTCGGCCGCAACCTTGTACAAGACATGGGATGCAACTCGGCAAGTAGGCCACGCCTCGCCACGATTTACAAGGTACCCCCGTAATTAAAGTCTTGCGACTAGAATCGGGCCAGCCCCTGCTTCAAGAAGGCCCCCCCAGACACCGACCAAGGGGGGTGAAAGAGAAACACAACTCAGCATCTCCAAGGTTTAACGTTCTGTTCAAGCAGCATCAAATTGACCCTCACTCCTTTGTCAAAGGATGTGCCTGACAACTTTGGAGGCAGAATGCAACGAAATCCACTGGAATTCGGGAGTGTCACACTTCACTGATGTAACTGGTCCGTGGAGTAGAGGTCAGTAAGCGTGAATGTCGAACACCTCTGCATCGTCATACTGATTGTGCCTCAGGTCTGTAGGGCCACGCTAGGTGGCTGTATTCTGATGCCTTTGTATAGAGGCCAAGTGAAGTAGTTCTTAAACCCATATAATGAGAACAAAAGGTTGAGATCCAGTTCAACTTTTATTCAGTATATGCAAGGAAGCAGTAACGCGAATGCGGAACCGTCCCTCATCTGCGTTGTTGGGCCGATGTAAGCTGCTGAGCCAGTACAAGAGGTCTGAACTGGTGTAGTCCCTGGACATCCGTGACAGACAGGTCTCGCAGGTAATGTGAAGAGAAGACGGTATCAGAACACCAGAAGCAACCTTCCATGATAGCTACCTGGAAGAATGTCTTGAATGTCACTTGTACGCAGTCCTTGTCTTCTAAAGGTTCATAATCTGTAGAAATCATATGACGAAGGATGACGGAGAGATCCCAGGCCGGAGGTCTGAACTTCCTGGACTGGTCAGAGAGTCTATAGGAGCGTAGTAGACTCTGCAACTCGGGAACAGTGGAAATCTTTGTGCCCGTGGTGGTAGCCAAAACCGAGTTGATGGCAGCTAAGTAGGTAGCTAACTTAGTACCCTTGAGTATTTTAGTAGTGCAGAGATGCTGGAGAAACTCAGGAACGACCTGAGCCGAGGTGGAAGTGGGAGATGCAATTCCCCTAACCTTGCAATAGTCTTCATACTTCTTCCACTTGTTGTTGTACAAAGAACGGGTCGAAGTACGATGCACTGAAGTGATAGCTGTGGCTACTCGGCGGGAGTAGCCATTAGCTATGAGAGACCTCTGAAGATGCGCCAAACATGTTGATTGAGGGTCTGAGGTGACCCATGGCGCAGTTCCGAGTGAGGGTGAAGAAGTAGGTCGTCCCGGTTGGGAAGCAGTACCTGGTTTGGCTCTGCCAGGCTTCTTAGGTTGACGAACCATGTGGCGAACAGTTCTATTTGAGGCTGTGATAACGGGTAGATCATTGACGGAAAGATCTGGGGTAGTAACTTCCACTCTGTCGGGGACGGTCGGTTGGATCAGGACAAGGCATCGGCGATCACATTTTTTACCCCGGGAATGTGTCTGGTTCTGGCTATGATGTTGAGTGAGTGGCCATTGTGGGAGAATCGCCGAGCCTGTCGAGCCTAGATGATTTATATACCAAACCACTGTCGAATTGTCTGATTGGATCAACAGACTGACTGATTGGCTCTGTTGCCCAATGTGAGATGGCTTGAATTACCGCCTTGAAATCCAGCTCGATTATATGAAGTACCCGTTCGTTGGATGACCACAGCCCGGCCACTTGGAATGGTGGAACCACCACGGCCAGATCTGTTTCCTCTGCCAAGGCCTTGAGTGGATGCGCCACGAAAAAGATTGCGTAAATCCGGATGGGTAGGGGTGAACTGAGCAGTTTGACGCTGTTTTAATAAGTCCTGGAGCTGTGACTTCTGTATCTTTAACAGTTCAATCGAGACTTGAAAGTGGGTTTCTTTATCAACTTTAATAGATACTTCTTGGATGCTACCATTGAAGGAGTCAGTAAACCAAGGCTGGCGAAAAAGTTCTGTTTTAAATCGCTCCTCCCATGAAGAGATGTTAAGGGGTGCACGCCGGCGAACAGCAAGAGTGTAGCCCAAAAAATGAGACAACTGATCCAGAACAATTTGGAACTGGTCCAGAGCTAAAGTCATGCATCCTCGGATGTAAGCGTCTTGATCAGAGTAAGTATGCTCCAGAGCAGTGTTAACAGCGTTGACTGCTGCAATCACGCAACTAATAGATGGCAATGTCTTTCTCACAGCTGAATCCATGTGAGCCAACTCTCGCTCCTTAATAAGGTAAGGCGAAGCAGCTCGTTTGCCACACAGGGTTCCAATATCCTCATCAACTGTTGGAGCCGTAGAGCATTTTGTTAGGCCGTGGACATGAGAGGTAGACGGATTATATCTGGGAGCAGAGAATCCGTCCTTAATTCGTTTCAGGCTCTTGAAACCATCATTTAGTGTACTGGATAATTTCAGAATACAAGGTCGAGGTGGTAGGGTGATGGTAGACCAATCCCGGTTCCTAAGAGTATAAGAGTGATCCAGGTCATCTGCTGAAGTATTCAAGGGAAGTTGGAGCTTCTCAACAATCCAAAGGAGTACCTGAGGTGTCTCAACTGCTGCAAAGCTACCCCCAGGGGTAGATAACTCAGAGTGAGTGGGAGATGCAGCCATGGCTATTTGGACTGGATCAATCTCAGGAGGTGGACCAGATGAAGAGCCAGGAGCTACCGAAGCCGGATGGGCTGGAGTAGAAGGCTGTATTTGGTTCCAGGCTGAGGTTATGGCCCTGATCATCGTATGTAGATCCAGAGTCGCTGTAGGAGTGGGATTGTTATCAGGTTCCCCTGACTCAGCGATGATCCTAAAGTGAGTCGAAGGATTTTCAGAGCGTGTAGACGGAACATCGTAAGAGACTGTAGGCCTATTAGTGGCATCAGAGCAATGATCACTGTAGAGGAACTGTATCGAGATCTCGACGTGGTAAGTACCGAAGTAGGTGGTAAGCCAGTGATCTGGATTCCCTAGTATGGCTAGGTGATCTGGTATGATATGAAGAACTAGTCCGGGTCGCTGTAGTTCTAGTTGGTGATCTGGTTCTGATTGCAGCTCTGGTTCGACCATCTGAATAGGATCGGCCATGAGATGTACATCTGTACTGTGATCCTGATTGGTCAGTGGCTCTGTAAGGTGATCTAGATCGTATAGGTGACCTGGGTTGGTAAGATGATCTGGATTTCTAAAGTGATCTGGATCGATTCGATGCACTAACAGGAAATTGTGATCGTGATCTGGATCTATAAGGTGATCTGGATCGAACAGGTGATCTGGTTTGCAGTTGCGATCTGGCTTGATTTGTTGATCTGGATCGGTTAGGTGATCTACTTCGATGTTGTGATCTGGATCGGTTAGGTGACCTAGATCGGTCCAGTGATCTGATTCGAAGTTGTGATCTGGATCCATTCGGTGATCTGGATCGGTCCGATGATCTACTTCGATGTTGTGATCTGGATCGGTCCGGTGATCTGATTCGAAGTTGTGATCTGGACCCGTTTGGTGATCTGGATCGGTTAGGTGATCTGGATTGATCAGGTGATGTGGATCGTAGTTGTGCTCTGGATCGTGACTGTGATCTGGATCGATCCGGTGATCTAGATCGGGTTTGTGATGGTGATCTGGATCGTGAAGGTGATCTAGATCGTTGTGGTGATCTGGATCGGCGATTAGGTGACGAAACCTGAAGTGTTGATTCATGATGAACATCCCCTGGCGACGCTGTTGTAGCCAGCGTCATCCGGTTCCTTGAACTGTGAGGGAACAGTTGGCTGGTTGAACGCAGTGGCCAGGCTCCAAACAAACTGAGACAGTCGAGGGGATATGTACTGATGATCTGGATGATGATAGTGTCGATCTAAGGTCCCCTGGTAGTGTAGATGGGACAGGCAATGATCTGACGCTATGGAAGGAGGTGATTGATACGTACGTAATAGGTGCCGAACGTCCTCAGATAAGTAATAATCTGATGAAGCGTCCATAAAATCATCTTGAACCACAGGGCGACGAGCAAACCACGAAGGGCCTTAAAATCCTCATCTTTTAGTGAATTACACTTGCCACATTGTTTGTTCCAGTTACATTGTCCAATACAGTCACTGCAAGACGATTGAGGGTTGAGGGACAAATAATTCGTCTTGCATTGAGCTCAATCTTTCCTTTTCCTTGACTGATTATCTGTTTTCCCCATGATGTTAGGGTGAAATAATGTCCCTAATATACAGCACGTCCACACAGTCGTGCGACAAGAAAGAGAATGATCATTCAATGTAGTCACGTGGGCAATTAGTGGAGCATGCTGCAAGCTTTATTAGGAACTAGGAAGCTAATTAAGGAGAGCAGCATGGAGTGCATGGGCGAATGGACAAGGAGGCCTATGGAAAAAGTTTACAGTCGTTTCACTAAAAGTCGAATCCAGAGAGAGAGGTGCAAGTTGTGAGATAGGATAAGTTTACAAATTAAGCCTCTTCGTTATAACAATGATAACCTCAACTAAGCCATTCGTTATAACTATGTCTTGCGCTTTGAGCATGTTGTACATGGAAAACAGCGCATTAGAAGCATGCTATTATTATATTTACATGCTACATGTCAATCTTAATTTCATTTTTGAAATTTTAATTAAAGTTAATGGAAAAACTTGGGATGGTAAGGCCAGCCCATGGGGAAGTCTAGATCAATCTCAGTTACTTTAACAGTGCAAGTACCTTCAGGTTTGTGTTTACAAGGATGGAGTCTGGCGTCATGTCAATGCATCCCTCCTTTGTCTGGGCTATCTGAGCCGCAATACTCTTCCTCTTGTTGGACCGCTTGCGTGGCTGAAAGTTGAAATTAACGTTTCATAAATGGACATGTTCATTTAGAATTTTATATCACAAAATTCTGTCTTCAGCAAGAAAGAAAAGGGGCAGCAAACTCGAGTTCAAAACGATTGTGAGGCTACCATAGGCAAACACAGACACTGTAACGGCTCACCATTTCATACTGAATATTAGTGGTGATCCGATTAATTGAAATAATCGAAGACTTATAGTGACTAAACGCAGTGAAAATGTATCGATGAATTTCAATTTATCGAAAACAAACAATTCAGGAACACTTGTTTTCATCAACAATATTTTTCACAAGGTTGGTTTTGTCTGTTACATTTCATAAGCATTATAAGCTCGTTCCAAGTCATGATTGAATTTTTCTTAAAGACACTAAGAAATTTATGTTCCTAACAAACTAGTCATCCTTTAGAGATTTGAAATTCAAATTGCTATGATTGGTTTGTATTACAAGGGCGTAAGTGCAGTAGATGGAACAGTGAAGCAAATGCACATGCGGTACATGATGAGAGTTAACTTAAACCAACATTACTTGTTCTCGGTGTTTCATTCAAAGTGCATACCCCCTGGTAATACAATCATTTACTTCTAGCTACCCCAAAATAAGCCTTTCTGGCTTATCAACACCACTTTTCAGGTTAAAAAAACTGTAATATGCCAATTACTTAAAACCTTCAAACTGAAAATCACATGTCTATATCAACTTTTTTATAAGAAAGTCAAAGCACTTCCAGCTATTCCCCCTGAAACCCCCAATGAGATGATGCTACATGTTCAAAAATAAATGAAACAGCTGAATCCCAGATTTCAACCTTTTTCACTTTTTCAGTGCATTGCTAGGCACACTTTCTGATAGTCAAGATGAAATCTTAAGTTCACACTGTCTCCACTGATACTACAGGCTCAAAGTCCCACTTAAAAATACGCCTACTGGAAAGACATACCTTCATACTAAACTGAGTGGATGCCAGTAGGTCCCGGAGAGTCTGTGTTTTGTTGGGGAAGGGGTGACCTAGCAGGCCACCAATGGCAGAGGCTGATTGGCTGTTGTTGACCTTTGTGGGGCCATTTTTCTCTGCCTGTTGACCCTGGCCAGACCTAGTCCCTAAGCCCCCAGACTGGCTGCTGGATGACGACGATGCATTGTTTAGTGTAGGTGAGAAGCTCACCTTTGCTGCAAGTGAAAATAGGATGCAAAATGTAATGTACTGTCATACAGAAACAAATTAAGTGTTGAATGTTTAACAGGTGTACTGACAAACTTACACAAAGCTTAACCAAGCTAACATGGGGTACTCAGTACCACCTGAAACTGAAAGGAATAATGTTGTGATGTTATCAGGAGTGAGTGAGTTTAGTTTTACCCCCATTCAGCAATATTCCAGCTTATAGTATATGGTGGCGTCTGTAAATAATCAAGTCTGGACCAGACAATCCAGTGATCAACATCATGAGCATCAATCTATGCAATTGGGATACAATGACATGTGTCAATCAAGTTAGGAGTGCTTACAAAAAATACTCCACCAGTAAATCTTAAGGAACCTGAGGAGCATTTTTAAACTTATTAGATCAAGGACACTAAAACTGGTAAAAATTCATTAAAAATCAAATAAGCCTTCCAATGCATATTAATACTTCACATAGGCCGATCCAGAAGGGGGTGCACCCCCCCACCCTTTTGTCCTGAAATTTTATTGAATGCCCAATGAAACTCTCGTGAAAATGAAGTCCCCCCCCCCAAAAAAAAAGGAAAAAAAAGGAAAGCTGTAGACACCCCTGCTTCATGGGTATGTTACGAAAGTGAGTCAGGGAGTGAATATTGTTTTAACAATAGGCCAATCTTGCAACTATTTAGAAGGAGAAGAAACAGGTGTTGATTTAGCCAGTTTATCATAACCACATAATGCTTTTCTCAGGTCCAAAATTCGGTCTACCTTTTTTGGTGCGTAGAGACTGCCTGATGCTCCTGCCTCCGGCTCCAACCGTGACACTTGATCCGCTTCCTGAAGTGCTGGGCTCCATTGTAGTCCATGACAAGTCTGCACGGCTTCTTTTTAACCTTGACGACTCAGGTCATAATCACTTCTGGAAAAAAGTGTTACAACATAAGGACAGATGTTGAGGGGTGTTATCACCATCATTGTAGTCAAAAGATGAAATTACTCTTGCTAATGTTATTCTTTCCTAAATAGAAGCTATTTTTCAGTGGATGTTCCATGAGTAGCCTCCCTTTGATGAAGGACAATGACTCCTGCTTGTGGACTGATGTCAATAAACAACAATCACTGACAAATCTGGAAAATTATCTATTAGTAATTGTCTGTTTGCCTTTATACATGCAATTGAGGATGGCAACTAAATGGCAGTTACATTAGAGTAAAAAATAACAAGTTTTGGTTCTTACAATATTGACTGTTTAACTGCCTGAATGACAGTAATTGACAAAGTGAGGTAAGGTGAAATTGGGTTTAATGTCGTGCTTGAGAATATTTCGCTCATATGACGACGTGCATGCGTGTGTAAGTGTATGTGCGGCTGCTTGTACTAGCCCAGACTTAAGCTGGTTTTATAGTGCTAGCCCACTGAGATACCATGCAGCAGTGAAGCATGAATACCCCACTCAGACACATTATACTGACTCCGAGCCAACCAGTCCTTGTTGTACCCATTAATGCCGAGCGCCAGGCAGGGACCAACAAGTACCATATTTTAACGTCTTTTGGTATGACGTGGTCGGGGATCGAACCCGCGACCTTTCGCTCTCTGGGCGGATGCTCTAACCATTACACCACAGAGGCGGTCAATTGACAAAGTGACATAATAGTATTAATACAGTGAAGCATACATTCCAGGATATCTTGCAGTGTTCAGATACTGCTTTTGAAGTGTGAGACTTTCTTGTAACAAAATCATAAAATGATAACAGTTTATCACATGTGTCCGTTTAATAATGTAAATATTCTTGGCTTCCTAAATATAATGTTTATTCATAATATAGGACATTTACCATCACAAAGTACACAAGTATTTTTAACTCTGTATTCGGCATAATGCTAAATCTAGTGAAAGAGATACTGAAGTTAGTTCTGACTGGTACCAGGCAAAAGCTTTAGGTATAAACAATAACAAAAACATACAACTCAACCATGCCTTAAATTTACTTTCCTTCTCAAATTTCCTCAGGTCAGTGTAAAAGGAACACAAATGTCAGTCATACCTGGGTAATCAGATTAAAATATCATCCTTATGAATCAACGTGAAGAGGAAGTGCGTACAACCAGTATCAGCAACAAACTATTTAGCAGTCACTTCTAGTGTAGGTTATAACATCTAAGCTAGAGCTAATTCTGCATGTTCTGTGGAGTGAGCGAGGTATGGATTTACGTCGCTTTTACCAATATTCCAGCAATATCATGGCGGGGTCACCAGAAAAGGGCTTCACGAATTGTACCCATGTGGGGAATCAAACCCGGGTCTTCAGCATGATGAGCAGATGCTTCAACAATTAGTGGGTAGTGGGTGGGTGGGGGCAGCAATTTTGTAAATAAACTTTTAAAATATAACCTTAAAATTTGGGGAAGAAAGAGAGATTCACATTGTACATGCTATTCCATAAAAATCATCATCACCCCACTAGCCATAAATTATGAACAGTCCCTAAGGGACCCTCTTGAACATAAACAGTATTACAAGCACACCCTGACTTTCTTGTTATATTCAAAACACTGGAATTACATGCTGATATACCCAGGTATCTCTTGGCAATCTGGGGCAGTGGAGTAGCCTAGTGGTTAAAGTGTTTGCCCATCACGCCAAAGACGTTCAAGTCCCCACATGGGTACAATGTGTGAAGCCCATTTCTGGTGTCCCCTGCCGTGATATTGCTGGAATATTGCTAAACGTTGCATAAAACTAAACTCACTCACTCACTTACTTGGCATTAGACATGATATCCGAAAAGCAAACCAACAGTAAGCCAGTTCCTTGTTTCAGTTTGTCTAATGTTAAAGGTATCCCGAAAGGCCAGTAGAATTCAGGCTTTCAGGTAGTATTCTTACATTTTGTTTGTCATTATCCAGGCTAGTAAATGTTCCAAGGTAACCATCGGGAGAGTTCTATGCATATACAACTTCTTTATTATTAATACGAGCAACATTTCACTGTAGCTATACCGAAACGTCACTCACTTGCTTGATAACAGTGTATGTAGTTACACCGAAACGTCGCTCATATTGATAATAAAGAAGTTGTATATCCATAGAACTCTCCCTGTTGTTCATCACACCAACTTCTAAATGCCACTCAAAGAAGTTCCAAGATAAGTTGTAAACCTGTTACATGAATTATGAAATTGGAGCACTGAATCGATACATATGAAGAAGTGTTAAGCAACATCATGCAGCTCTGGCGTTACACCAATAATGATGGATCAATTCAAAAAATGAAAACTAGAAGCTGGCTTGGAAAGGATAATTCATTTCATATCAACATGAATAAGGGGAATTCAATTTAAAGCTATATATAAGTCAGTAGGATGGCCATACCATAGCAGACAAGGTATAGATTTAGATTTTCATTGGTTTGACCAGAGGTCAGGTGAACTGACCTGAATGGTCACTGCCCATGTAGCTGGGTCAATGATGACAGACATCAAACCAGAGGTTGACAATATGCCACACAATGTACTGGGTCATGATGACCCACATTTAGCCACACAACTACTTGCAAGCACCCCTATCAACCTCATATACATCAGCTGGGGCTGATTACCAAAATAGATCACAGAGATGGATAACTGATAGTTAAATAGCGACCAAATAAAGATAAATATCTTAAAGATAAGTAACTTTAGCAAAAATGCAAAAAGAAAGAAAGAAAAGAAGTCACCATCTGGTGAGTGATGACACATCTATGCATGGATAATGAATAAAAACAGCATTGTGAACAGAATTCAGAAACACCCAATGACTGACTGACTGACTGAGTTTCGTTTTACGCCGCTTTTAGCAATATTCCAGCAACATCAATGCATGAACACCAGATGTACATTGTACCCATGTGGGAAACACCCCATGAAGATGTACCTTTGTCTATAGTGAGTCTATATGACAATTTCTATTTGATAACAATAGTTTATGCAAGCTACTGTCAATGACACAATTTTGATATTGATAATTAGTCCCATCAAAAATATTTCCAAGTACTGATCTGTTTAGCCAGATCTAACTACAAGCATAGGACACTTGAGAACTATATTGCTGTAAAATCCCCAGTGAGGTTCATAGTGTGCAGGTTAGGCTACTGATGTGGACAGTATTTCCGTTCTGGTTGTATAACAATGGGGGTGAGAAACCTGACACAATAAGTGAATCATGGAATGGCATCAGGACAAGTCTGCTGCACAGTGAATCTGGAATCATGTTTCAAATTAGTAATATCTGTAAGCTAGATGTAAAACAGTATTTACACTTCTGATCACAATGCCATGTCGAGACAAGATGATCCAAAAGTGGTCCCAAACAGAGAGAGCAAGTCTGTCTCACAGCCCCTGAACCATATTATTTTCCCTACTGCCCAGCCCTACCTGCAAGTACAATGTTAAAGCCTTAAACATTAAATGACGCAAGTCTAGATCTCCTCACTCTTAATCTCTGGTCTCTCAGGGGCTCTTTTACCATTCTAATAGGTTTATTTGTTACTGACTGACTGAGTTTGGTTTTACGCCGCTTTTAGCAATATTCCAGCAACATCACGGCGGGGGACACCAGAAATGGGCTTCACACATTGTACCCATGTGGGGATTCGAACCCGGGTCTTCGCCGTGACGAGCGCAACGCTTTAACCATTAGGCTACCCCACCGCCCCTATTTGTTACTACAAATGTATCAAAATTATATATATTCAGAGACTAAGCATTAGTTAGCTACCATGGCAATTCGGTGTGAAGATATTTGCTTACTTACAGTACTCCTTCTGGCTCATCAACATGATCAAGTCATCAATAGAAACAGTAGAGTGCAAACTGTATGAATCGCCATACTTGTAAATGCATGAGATAACTCACTGTAGATGCTGAACAATAGGGCTGTTACGATATACTTCGCATATTTGGTGAATCAAACCATATCCCTTCATAAATTCAATTTGTTCTTCGTGATCACTAGAACTGAATATTCATATATCTATTTAACAAAAGGAGCATTCTTACTTGAGTTTGTTTTATCAAAACAAGATAACCGGAATGGAACATATCTAAGCCAGATAGGATGATAGCCAACACTCTCAAGTATTTCATTTGACAGTGATGTGGTCACTGGTCATTGGCAAGATAAACTGACACTGTCAACATGGTCAAAATATATCAAGAGAATATTTTATGAATATTTCACTAAATATATTTAATAATACCTCAATTGTTGACTTGTTATTGTATTCGTTACCCACTATTCGCATCCATTACCCAATATTCGAGAGGCCAAAAAATATGTGTGTGTTTAATGTTTCCTGACCGTCCCCGCCACAAACCCTAAACTGTTGTTTTCGTTTTTATTAAAGACGGCGAAACATTTTGCTATTTCAACAGTATGTACTCCCCAATGTTGGGGGCACCATATGTGACCTGTGCTCACTTACTGTTGTTTTTCATAAATGTTGAAAGTGTTGATGCTTCAGTTATTAAAATTTTAAACTGGTTTTGCTCTTTTCTTTCAAAACTGGTCCCTGATATTACATAAATATGTGATTTTATGAAAAAAAAAAAAAATTAAAACAAAAGAAGAGGTAAACCCTACCTACCGACCCTGTTATATAATTTCATGTTACACTAAACACACATACGTTAATTAAACTGTTACCAGTGGTGGTTACTACAGCAACACACACACATTAACTGCTAGTTATTATTTACCAAATCACATCTGTGACTCAATACTTTAGGAAACATAACAACCGGTTTCCAAGTAAAATGACCCTTAAATAATGATATATGGCTGGTAATTGTTTCCTTTCACTTAAGGTTTTTTAGCTATAACTTTGTTTGAAAAATGGTGTCAGTCAAACAGGTTGTAAACACATAAAAACATGGTACATGTTTAGTTCAAAAATATCAGTGGAACAAATACACAACAGAATTGCCAATACCCTAATCAAGCTATAGATACTTGTCAGGGCTCGACTACTTGCACTGGTGCAACCCAATATTACAAAGTGCAACCTAATTATTTGTCTAACTTGCACTAGGTGCGAGTCAATTTTTTAGCGGGTACACTTCTGAATAACACATCTAAATAATTCAGTAGCATATTTCTGATATTACATATTGCATTAAACAGTGCAACTGGAATTTGACTGGTGCAACTAGGTTTTTATCTTAGGTTGCACCTGGTGTAAGTGGATTAAAATCTCTTAAATCGAGCCCTGCTTGTTATGCGCACTGCTTCTGAAAGAATTATTATGGTGGTGTGATTAAACAATGTATTGATGCAATATGCACTCACGCCACATGACAAAATACACAATAAGCCTGCAGTATAGATTAATTCAATATTGATTAGCCTGGCCTGACAACAATATTTTTTTGACACCTGTCACAGAAGAAAATACTGAATCATGATGCCATAGATAGAACTAGAAATAACTGAATTAAACTGCCATGTATGCATGGCAAGTTACATGGTTAGCAAAAACTGATTCGAGTGATTGATAAAAACACTTGTTAGCAAGGCCACACCCAGAAAATCAAGCAAATTATTGCATGTCTCAAAAGTCTTGTACTGATGTCCATAAATAGCACCTGTCCCAAAGAACAATCCAGATTTTTTTATTTTCTGGTCTGGACACCAATTTCTACTTCCTTGTAATTTTGACAGCATTAAATCGTATCCACATAATAAAGCCATGTAATGTTTTTGCAATACCCAGCTGACAAATTTATTGCTTAGTTTTTCAAGATTCTCTGTACACCATGATGTGAAATTCTTTACATTATCTCTGTATCGTCGCTCTGATTTGTAATCATACATCTGACCAACAATGGCTGCATCATCAGCAAACTTCACATTTATACAGTTATTTTCTACGCTAGTGCAGTCATTGGTGTATAGAGTGAACAGGACTGGTGACATAACACAAATTTGCAGGACTCCTGACCCTCATGCCCGAAACACTGTCGTTAACTTTCACACACTGAAATCATGCATGGAGAAAATCTCATTGGTGACATAATTTGTTGAAGTAAGGAAGAAGAAACTGTATGCTTGTAATTAAGATTCAAATTTGAATTAATACAGGATACAGACAGCAACTATTGATATGTAGTCATGGTAAGAGGGCTATGTGTGTTGTGACATCCTATGTACTTATAGCCTGAAGTTTGTCCATTTTCTGAAGATCCAAACAATCCTCAATATGACATCATGTAATGTAGAGAATGAAACTTTTACTATTATGCAATTCCTTCTATGTGGAACTCACAACTAATCAGGTAACCTTCCTATAAAATGAGCACAAAGGTTAAAATTGATACTGAGTGGCAAGAAATTGTCAGTGAACTTCTAGCTGTACAAAGAAATGTTGGGTGATACCAATGTCACCTGTGCAATTTGATAACATAATCGTTTTGAAACGTGAAATAACATAGAGTATGGTGTAGAGTACCTAGGGTGGAAGTATATATATTGAGTGTATTTGACTATTTGGGCGTGATATAGTCAACTGCTTTCAATATCAATCATAATCTTTACATATCTTTCAAATTGCACATAACTGTAGGCGATGTGACTAATAACTTACACATTCTAGCTGCAGTATTGTGAAGAATCGTATCAGCTAACATGCATCTTCTTGCTACTCACACCCATAGCATCATCAAAACTGACAAAGTGGTTAACTTCATTTAAGGATATTATTAGTAGCATGACATTCATGAAAAAGCCAGGTCAGACAAATTTAATCTAAAGTGCTCACAGTCAGAAATATGTGGCATATTCTGTTAATAATTTTAGACTTAGAAATCTCTTTAAGTTGACAAATGTTACGCACCCAAACTGCAAAATGAAATGCACACTGGATGCTATAGGATATTGATCAGGTGAACCGTGGTTGATCATTTCTGAAGACGCATTTCGATCATTACTCTGACAAAGACAATATATTATATGTAATAGCAAATTGCGGCATTTTCTCTGTACTTTGAAAGTTTTAATACAGGGATTCTTGCAAATATTGGCGGAAACTGTTGCATGAAAAACGTTGCAATTTGGGCCTTGCGTGTGTGTAAATAAATGCAAAAATCTGGATATAAAACTCACAGTTGTGGCAATCAGAGAGTTAATCTTGTTTCTTTGACAACTATTATTTAAGTATTTATCCGTTATATCTGGAAATGCTTGATAGATTCCACAATACAGGACAAAACTTTGTTGTTTATCTGCTTAGAAGTTGTGTGATCGCCGCCATTTTCCTAGGTCAAACAATCGCTTGCATTCGTTAAAATCCGGCCATCTCCGTTTCTTTTTTCTTCTCGGTATTTTCCGGACATTATAGTCGTGAGGTTACGGACATGTTCGGTACATTCCGCCCGTAGTGACACACTGGGCGTCAAAATGGCGGCTGATGAGGTAAAAATATCAACATTGTGTGTTTACAGTTGATCGTAGAAACAAAATCACATCTCTGCGCTGGAAAATAGTTATTATTCTTTGATTGAAAGCCTTTATTTTAATTTTGTGATTTATGTTTACTTACACATATTGTTCTGTCGCGAAACGTCCTTAGCTATATTTTGAAGTTAGAATTTATTATCATGTTTTATATTGTATCCGTGTCATGAAACATTAAATATTTGATGTACTTTCTTGAGACTAAGGACATGTTTTAAGCGAGCTCGCAGTATGTTGCCCTATTAGGACCCAAACGGACCCAAAGATATGTTTGCCACTTTGGTAATGTTATGGAAGAATTTCTGGCTCTGAATGTCTTATCAGAAGTTAAGGGCATCAAGAAAAAATGCCCTGAGACTTTTTAAAATCAGTGATACTTCACATCAAGTAGACAGCCCAGAACAGTCTTTTCGGTTTGGTTCACTATGCCAGAAACATGTCAGCCATATGTGGCACTAAATATATATGTTTGAAACACAGGGGATAGAAGTCAAACTATGCAGAAAAAAACTTCCGCTAGCAATGTATGGATGTGCTTGATGGTGACCCATTATGGGCATTAACAACTGTATTCAGCATCTTGGAACGTCTTACCTCTATAGTGTCATAAAGGTGAAGAGTGAGTGAGTGTGTTGGGTTTTACACCGCTTTTAGCAATATTACAGTAATATCACGGCGGGGGAACACCAGAAATGGGCTGCACACATTGTACCTATGTGGGGAATCGACCCCGGGCCTTTCGGTGTGACAAGCGAACGTTTTAACCACTTAAAAGGTGAAGAAATAGAAAACATCATTCAGATGATCCACTTTCACGTGAAATTAATATTTTGCATATTCTAATCAGTAGATCTGAGTCTTCATGATTAGTTAGAGTACACAGAACAAGGACCAGTTGTTACCAAACAAAGTCGTATAAAGCTTGATAGAATGCTATGGTACTTGAACATCATTCATGTATACTATAAGTGAATTCTAATTTTAGACAATTTTCTAAATTTCATCATGTTTCATAATCACTGAATTTGTACTTGAAAGCAAATCAACCCATAAATGAAACTATTATAAGGGTAACGCTATTTTTCAGGGCTTTATCATTTGCAGAAGCCTGAGGTCTTTTATTAACTGCCTGACGAAGACCGAGGAGAATCAATTTGGGGGCATTATCAAGTTATAGTGGCCTGCTCATTTCTGATAACATGCAGGCGTTTTACTGATAATTCTATCCATATAATAGGAAACGGAAAAAGGGAGTTTTTTATGTCAAATATGTATGGTTTGACAGTTTATTATTAGGGGTCTGGGAAACTTTGTTTAGAATCACTCCTACAACTTATATGAAAAACATTGCAGGAATTTTTCATGTACCATGGAACCTCATTGGTCCACACTCTGTTATTCCGGAAACTTGCTTTGGATGTTGATGAAGAGACATTATAGTCCAGACCACAGACAAGATATTAAAAGCCAACTCAAACTTGCTTTGGCCCGTATAGATTGCCACAGGCCTGAAATGTAGCATTTGCATTTAGTTTTATTTTTGCAGATATGTATTTCCAAATAAGATAACATTACTTCTAGGTCCAACTGTTAGTGTAAGATATCTGTTTATATTGAAGATTCACAGGGAATTTTACTGTCCAGATAAACAAAGTTGAACTGTTTTAGCCAAAAGAATTGGTCATTACAAAAGAATTCAATTGTTATTTTCAGATCTCTAGTTGTGGCACATCCATGTAACAAAATTTCCATGATGTCAACAACTAAAGTAGTTCGGTTGGAGGAGGTGAGCTACGCAGAGGGCAGCTTCTCCTCCCTAAGCAAGCCAGGAATTCTGAAGAATGAAGAATCTCAGTCAGATGGACTGCTAGATAAAGGTGAAATTTCAATCCTGTTTCATGTAAAGCTCTGGCGTGAAGTTAAGAATTTTTAGATAGTAAAATCCTGCAGCAATCAATTTGCACTCTGGATGGTATGTCTGATCATGGTTGTCATGGTGATCTTCTTGCTGGAAGTATATGGAATATTATAGCAGCAAAGGAAAGGCTTCATTATGATGTGTACCTATTTCACATACATTTATTGTCAAACCAAGACCTGAAGAAATGGTCATCGAGAGGTCAAGGTTGAGTTTTAACTTGGCTAAAGATAAGTCAATCTAATTAAGATCTAGTGTTGGGAATTGGTTAAAATCTCATATTTGATGATTGGTTCATTACAACCGATCAATCATCGAAAATAATTGGTTAGCGTCATTTATCAAATGTTCCTGTTATCTTTGTTAATGCACACACAAAAAAAAAGAAAAAACATGTTGTAATTTGGGGTTTTGCAAATTGCACAAAATCCATTGGCAAATTTCGCATATTTAAAAGATGATTTGTATGTTAGGAACACAGATTTCCTGGATTCTTTAAGATAAATTCAATCATGACTTGGAACGAGCTTGTAGTGCTTATGAAATGTAAATTTAATGACACAGACAAAACCAACCTTGTGTAAAATATTGTTGATGCAAACAAGTGTTCCAAAATTGGTTGTGTTTGATTATGAGAAAACACAATCGATTGCTTGGTCGTTTAGGCACTGCGACCGATCTTCGATTATTTCAATTAATCGGACCACCACTATTAAGATCAGATATTTTTGTTTCAATGGGATACCGTTCATTTTTCCTTATCCTGACTCATGATCTTTTGCTTATCTCATTCTATGCGAATGTTAGTGGGACACTTGAATCCCTTGTAGTTTCCTAAAGCGGACGTAAAAGTTCTCTGACCCCGAGTTGCCTCCCTTTTCCCGCGCACATAGTCATGTGACGTGCCGTGCTGGTCACTCTCTCCTTCATCACCCGAAGCGGATGGTTGGGCGAGCACTGGGGTCCCGTATAAATATCAAAAATTTTACTTTAAAAATTACATTCTTTTAGATATGAAAACTTCGATGAATGGTTGTGTCAAAGAAACTTTCTTGATACCCCAAATGAGCATCAATGCTTCTAAATTCTTGGTACTAGTCAGTGAATCAGTGAGGTGAAAATCTATGTTCTTTTTTTTAGAAGAAGTCCTCTTTGGGGTACATATAAGCATTAAAATGTCCATTTTAAAATCCTATGACAGTTGTAACAATATTGTAAGAAAAATATTTACAAAACAAAAAAACTTGTTTTTGTCTTGTTCGACCACCCCTACAGGTCCCCTCAGGGCCCCTAAAGCCAAGAGCAGGTAACTCTTGCCATCTACCTTGCACCTCACTTTTCATTGCTGAACGTAATCAGACTACTCAGGCCTAAAAAAAAAAAGCTTGTGGTTCCGATTTCCCGACCGACCCTAAATATTCCCGCCGAGCCTAACAATTTTACTCACCACATAATAAATGAAATTTATTTTCTGACACATGAGTAATCAGTAATGTAAAAATATTTTGCAAAAAAACCTACCTACCTACCCTAGTTCTGAAATGTAGGAAATCGGAACCACAACATTTATTTCTTTTGGCCTCAGTGAATCAGTGAGGTGTAAATCTATGTTTGAGCATGAATTTATTGTAGCAGAACATTGATAAGAGTACAATAAGTTTGATTATGTTAATGTATAAACATGATCAAACACATTTAAGTTCCCAAGGAAAGCCCAGTTTCTAAACAGTGGTTTTTTTCACAGATGTTGATGGCAGTCAAGAAAAGGAGGAGACAGAGGAAGCTAAAGGTAGTAACACCTGGATAAAAAAGTCAGGGGCATAGCTACCATTATCAAAAAGAGCCCAGGCTTACACATGATTGTTGCTAAAAAGCTTGAGCTAGCCCTCAATACTATCTAAATATACAGCTTTGCAACTAATATCGAGCTAAATACACGAAAAAATTGACTTCATTTGTTCCCCTTGATGCTGCAGAATGTTATCTGCTGTCAAATATCTCTTCTACGTCTGGGGGCGGTGGTGTAGCCTAGTGGTTAAAGCGTTCGCTCATCATGCCGAAGACCCGCGTTCGATTGCCCATATGGGTACAATGTGTGAAGCCCATTTCTGGTGTTCCCTGCCGTGATATTGCTGGAATATTGCTAAAAGCGGCGTAAAACCAAACTCACTCACTCACTCACTTGAAGAAAGAATTCTGTGTGCTTCATTGTTGTGGTAGAGGTATCACATTATGTGAAATACAATATAATCAATCCAGTTATCATTGAGGCAAATTAGCTAATAATCGCCTTATGACTGACACAACATTCATTCTTCTTGTTGATAAATTGTTGAAAAGGATTCAACATGTGGGGATTCTTGTTTCAAATAGGACTAATTGTAGCAACCTATTTGTCATGTGGGATACACGATGGATTAAAGCAAACACAACTGTGTAGTGATTAGGGATCGTTCATAATTTATGGCTTGGGGCTGTAATGATGATTTTAAGGAGGGGGGAGAGGGGTGTCACCCATTTTGTTCTGGGGAGGTAGGGGCGCTCATCAGTTCTGTACACATGTAAAAAGGGGGGTCTAATTTTGTACATAATAATATTTAAAAATCATGCTTAAAAATTATGGGGGAGGGGGTATCATTGATTTTGTACAGGACATGCAGAGGGGTCTCTTACTTTGTACATGAATTTTAGGGAGTTCATTCACATTGTACATGCCTCTCCATAAAATTTATCATCACCAACCCCACCGACCCCCACACCCCGACACCCCTAGCCATTTAGTTTGAATGGTCCCTTATGCAGTAACAGACCAAACTATTGGTATGTTTACACTGTTCATACTTGGATAACATCGGAGACCATATATCAGTTCATGGTCTCTGGATAACATACATTTGGTTTTTAAACTATACTCATGCCAATAATGGTTGTCACCCCCTCCCACCCCAACCCTCTCACACCCCTACCCCACCCCCCCTCTCCAATTAAAAAAATTGAAAGGGGTGACAACCATTATTGGCATGAGTATATATAGCTGTGAAGCGGTTGCTGTTATTGTGTGAGACATTTTATTTTTGGTCTCAAAAATAAATCAGTATCATTTAATGAGGGAAGATTACCTTGATTTCCAGGCTTGATCGGGGCGGTGGGGTAGCCTAGTGGTTAAAGCGTTGGCTCGTCACGCAGAAGACCCGGGTTCGATTCCCCACATGGGCACAATGTGTTAAGCCCATTTCTGGTGTCCCCCGCCGTGATATTGCTGGAATATTGCTAAAAGCGGCGTAAAACTAAACTCAGTCAGTCAGTCAGTCCAGGCTTGATCATCCATGTAGTTTTGAAGACATAAAACAGTATACAAATTAAAGTTTCCATATTGTTTTTGTTATAATGTTTCATCTTCATCACCTGGTGAGCATCTTCATGACCAGGGTGCCGTTCCACTAACCGATCTTAGCCCTATGCCAATCGTAAACCCCTAAAATCCCAATCTTAGTGTGACGTTACGATCGGCTTACCGTTCCACTAACCAATCTTACCTAAGTCAATCGTAAAGTTAAGATTCAAAGTCTAAGTTGCTCATGACCAACTTAGGATAGCTAAAATCAATCGTAGAGAAACCAAAATGGTGGCTTTCCTATTCTATGTGAAAAATAAGAGCGAGCATTTCACCGTGAGCGTCCCCTAAAATCCCCCATGAAATGAATTTGTATATTTCTGTGATGTAAACAAACACTGCACTGAAGCCTTACAAATGTCAGGCCAGTCTGACCACTGTTGTCATGGGAACACAACTGAGCGAGTCCGTGTAACACATTTGTACAACAATATTGCAAGGTCATGGTTAAGAATAGGGACAGCCCTGAAGTGAACAATGTTCTGAAGCAAAAAGATACAAATATGTTTGATTTCACTGGGCATATTTGGTGGGGGATTCTAAAGGCAGGCGCTTGTTATTCAAGAACACTGACAGATTCTACATACTTTATAGCCTCCTCATGGCTTGTTTATTCTGATTGACAAGGTTCAGGCACATATTAAAAGCTCTGACACAATTGACATTTTTAAAGTTCAGACTTAAAACCTGTTCTCAGTATATAACTTATAATCTCGGCTGTAAATACTCTCGTGTAAATTATCTGTACATAGCACTTTGAGCATGCCCCAGGATGTGGAATAGGCGCACTATAAATATGCATTTATTATTATTATATTTTGCCTGATACCCAGCGTTCACACGCACTTGCACCTGAAACCAAGGTGCTCACTACCCTAACATTTTGCTCAAGGTTTTTTCTCCACGTTTACACTTGGTTGGAAAAATACCCATGAAGGACCGGGTTAGAATATTGAACTTCAATAACCCATGCTTGTCGTAAGAGGCCACTAACGGGATCGGGTGGTCAGGCTCGCTGACTTGGTTGACACATGTCATCGGTTCCCAAATGCGCAGATCGATGCTCATGCTGTTGATCACTGTATTGTCTGGTCCAGACTCGATTATTTATAGATAAGATACATAGCGTTCACTAACATGAATGCTCATGTTAGTGAACGCTATGCATCTTAGCTAGATTATTTACAGACCGCCGCCATATAGCTGGACTATTGCTGAGTGCGGCGTAAATCTAAACTCACTCACTCACTCAGTTGGTTCGTAAACTACTTCCATCATTTGCTAGACTATGCAAAGGGAGATAACTAGTGCCTCGCATTCCTCTATCTCTCGCACGAAAGAGTCTCGATCTAAGCTTGGATCGGATCGTAAGATCGGGACCGGCTATGATCGGCCTAAGATCGGTTAGTGGAACGGGTGTAACTTTTAGCTAAGACGATTGTAAAATTGGCGTAACTTGCTAAGATTGATCTTAGATAAGATCGGTTAGTGGAACGGCTCCCTGGTCTTGATCAATGCCCGGCACGAACGTTTTTTCCAAACAGTAGATGCTTATTAAAGAATTCAGTCTAGTTATGTTCATGATGTATAATAAGTGTGTACATGAAATAAATATATTTTTCTAACACTTCAGATAAAGTGTACCCTCTTCCATCCAACTGGCCAAAGATACCTCAGCTTGCCCGTCGTCGTAGTTGCGAGTTGACAGGGTCGACCGAGCCGTGTGTGAAGAAGGCAGTGTCTCACCTGGAGCTGGTACAGAACATCATTGATGAGTGGTTCAAGAAGTCAGAGGAGGAGGTGAAGAGCAAGTTGTCCAGTCGGAGAGATTCTATAGTGTCCATCCAAGGTCAGCCCAGAGTTCTCTCCCTTTGTCAATTTCCCGATAGGGATTCAGGGTTACAAAAGGTTCCCAACAACCCATACTGGTCGTAAAAGAAGACCAGATTGATCAAAAGCACTCTTGCCATACCCCACATGCTCATGATATCAGTCATTGGTTTGTTTGGAGCTGGAATAGAGTGCAGCATTGAAAAACAGCAAACTAGATATACATGAACAAGTACATGTATTTGGGATCCATCTAATTGATCTACTTCTACTTACTATCTTCCTGTTATTTGGTTAAATGGTGTTAGGTAGTATTCTAAATATCATAACATTCCAGGACCCAGAAAACACCTGAGGTTTGTGGACAACCAGGCAGCACCAGGCAGTTTATCAGGTTTGTGGACAACCAGGCAGCACCAGGCAGTTTATCAGGTCGCCAGTCCAGCACAGTCAGCGAAGTGTCTCATGCTTCCTCACAAGTGTCAACCCAAGAGAACCTGTCGATCAAGGGTATAGGCGCCAAGGCTGAAAAAGGTTTGAGGAGGATCATCTCTGATCTCAGTACCATCGCAATATGACGTCTGTTATGACAGTGATGACTTTAGATTAGCCCAATGTTATTATTAGAAATATACTGCTTCCTCGCCTTGGTTAAGGAAAGTTTAGAGCTTTTAGTCTAATAGAATATTTGAAGCATGTTATTTTTTTAAAATTTCCATCACCCAGAGATGCATTTAGCAAATCATCTTCTGATACAATATATTCGTTTTTAACAAATCAGATATGCTTCTCTGAAGGCTTGGCTCACTCTTTCCAAGAAATAAGCAGCATCTGGGCTGATTGGCTGATCCAAATGTTCACCTGACATGACTTCCTATTTAGGTGTCATCAGAATCTTCACATAAAGATATAATCTTGCAAGTTCTCTGTGTAAGGCAGCACTATGATTTTATTCTGTTGTCTGCTATTGTCATGGCATCTATATGTAAAAGGGTGTACTGTCACTGGAATATTTATGTTCTCTGGGGGCTTTCTTTTGCCCAGATACAAAATTAAAGACTCTCTGATTGGCTCAAGGTAACAAATATCCTTCTGACAGATTGGTCAGTCCGAGTTCACTCAGTGTTTACCTAACATGACCTAGTATGGAGGTGTCACCATGCCATGTCCTCTATAAAGGTGAGAGGAAAGAGAAATGCTTTAGTCTAATTCCTGCATCAGCTATGAGAATTCCACTTAAACGTTTATCTTCAGCATACTTGATTGGTTATTTAATGGATAATAATAAATAAATAAATGATTTATAGAGCCTATTTCCAAAAGATATTGCTCAATGGCGCTATAAAGAGAACAGATTGTAGACAATGTCTATGGAAAAGAGAGTTTGAAAAGATGAGTTTTGAGGGCAGTTTTGAAAGCGTCAGAAGATTCTATTTCTTTTAGGGCGAGTGGTAGAATGTTCCAGAGATCGGGGCTGCAGCAGAGAATGCTCTTGATCCCATGGCTGTTTTGACGTGACAATTCATACTGTGGTCAGTTTCACTGACTTGGGACCTGTGAAGATCCGGGTTAGAATTGATCTTCAGTAACCCATGCTTGTCGTAAGAGGCGATTAACGGGATCGGGTGTTCAGGCTCGCTGACTTGGTTGACACATGTCATCGGTTCCCAGTTGCGTAGATGGATGTTCATGCTGTTGATCACTGAATTGTCTGGTCCACACTCAATTATTTACAGACTGCTGTGATATTGCAGGAATATTGCTGAGTGTGGCGTTAAATTAAACTTACTCACTGACTCAATCACTGACTTGGTTGGTATCTTGCCATCCTACTACAGTGGCATTGGACAGTGCTCTTAATATCAGTAACTGGTTTTTCTGGTCCAGACACAATTATATGCCATCATATAGATAGAATATTGCTAACTGCTTTTTTTTAAAACAAATAAAGCAATGTATTTTCTCACTCAGTTGCTAACTATTTATGTCTTACAGAGGACGTTGAGGTTGAGGATGAAGGTCTGGAGATTCCCTACCTCGGGGCTGAGGATGTGATTGACGAGGTCATCACACTGCTGGCCAGGCTTGAGAATGACCGACATGAGACAGAGGGGAAGCTGGAGCATGAGAGGGGGAGGGTCACTAAACTGACCAGTAAGATTGATGACCTGTGTCTCCGGAGGCTGAGGGATCTGCCGGTGCTTGTTCAAAGAGGTGAGGCCAGTCGCCGATGGCTTAGCGGAATGGGTCTGACTACACTGCATTTTGTTTTGACTCACATGCATGTTATTTCTCTGGTTGTAGTAAGAGCAGTTGTCTTTCAGTGACTGTCTTGGAAAGAGTTGTCTCCCATGGTTACTTTCTTTACATTGTGTACATTTATATGCTTTGTTTGCTTTTATCTTAAATAGAAGACTGTCCACCTATGTTTTGTTTTTGAATTTATTATGCATTTCCCGAGATGTATTTCAAGTTTGATTTTATTCAGTAAGTATGATACCGTATAGGTTATATTAGTGTTCTCGTCCAATTATCAACATTGGGACCAGTCTGTAAGTACTCTTTATAAACGCCTCCTACTGAAGCAAATTAATAATGTCAGTCCATATTTTGTTGTGTAACAATGACAGATATGTTTTAAAAAGACAAAACAACAGTTGAGTAGGACGCGTGTTGATTCACCCTGTAATCATTATCATAGCCATACAAGCTAGATATCTGACAGTAAATTTAGGGTTTTAAACAGTACCCCTATTTGTCAGTGTTTTAAGCACACAGGGCACTTACTATGGCAAATACGGTAATGATTTTTGGACTTTGTTCTTTAATACATGACTAGTGAGTGATGTAGTTGCTGTAGTTGCCTTTAATACAAACAAATAAACATTTTATCAAATTATATAGCAATAATATATAACTGTATTATAAGTGGACAACTGTAAAAGGCCTTAGTGACCAATGATCAAGTAGCAGTTTGAAGCAGGTGAGCTACAGATATTCTTTGGCTCTAGTACGTCTTTTCTCCACACGTCACGCCAATGTTCAGTTATTGCATGTCTCACCTGCGCACACATCTCTGTCCTCATCAGAGCATGAAGCATGTATTCTCGACCTGAATGAGCTGCAGTGGCATGTTGCGTACCGAGGTCGAAATGAGGCGCGCATGCAGAACAGGAGAGAAATTGCGGAAGTTCTCAATAACAGACTCAAGGAGGACATTGCTTTTGTAGAGAGGCATATGTAAGTCATGTTTAGAATGTGTGGAAACATCCTTTTTACTTAAGAATGTTTGTGGAAACATACTTCATTTTACTGAATAAACATTCTATGATTTATATCGCAGAATGAGGCTTACATTACTAATTACCTGATCATAAGTTTCTTCCTTTTCTGTGAAGTCTTAAGGTAACTTTTTACAGCAATAGGTAAAGTGTTTGTTGAAATAGGAGAACACCTTTTTCTCAAGATGGTTATTTCAGGGACTTACCCAAAATCAGCATGTGGTCAATTTTCATTCAGTCATGTTTGAATACTTACTCACAGAGCCTGATCCGTTTATATTATGAAAACATAAAATTATGAGGAAGTATGGCAGCCTCATTGGCAGTAATAGGTTTCAGCTTGCTGAGATGGTTTTAGAATCAGCTTGTGGTGGAGAGTGACGGAGAGTGTATGATGATGGAGAGTGTATGACTTTATCTACAGACCCCTGGTCCAGGAGAAGCTGCTGCTTGAGATGGAAGCCATGGACAAAATTAAGAAGGCTCAGGCCGAGGTGAGATTGGATACAATATTCCTTCAATCATAATTACATGCAAGGAAAATGCTTCATTATTTTAAAATCGAAGGGCTTCATATTTGGAACCACTGTGCCAATGCATTGGATTGATTTTTACTTTCACTGCTATCTTGGACTGGGTTTTCCCCCCTCTCAGCACATTATTATGTGGTGTGGTATTCATGTGGCCACCATCTGGTCATATACCAACGGATTCGTGGGTTCTTTTAAGTTCACAGGGTTGTGTACTGTTATCCACGGGTTGTGACAACACTGAAATAGTCTGCATTATTATTATAATTATTATTATTATTCAAGTTGACTCCAAGGTTTTAACACCCGGTCACAGGTGGGCTCGACACCTCAAGCTTGCTGGATCACTAGCCTGGCACCTGAGCCAGCTCGCCCACACATGCCACCATATCATGTCTTTTGGTATCAAAACTCATCAATGAAGTTTTAATATTTCTCGGCAAGTCTTGGAATGTTAAACTTTTATCGACCCATGAAGATATATTTCATATCAAAAGATTTGGTGATATTCTCTGCATCTCATTCCAGGGGTAACCAAAAGAACACATACAGTACAACCAGAAATTATTGAGAATTTAAAGATTGTAATTTTTATTTTTTTTCACTCATTACTCACGTATTAAATGTGAATATTAGGAGAACATAACTCAAGATTCAAAGACAGGTAAACAGTTAGTATTTTGTCAAGTCACCATGGGCAGCAATGCAGACTTCAATGCGGCGGGGCATACTACTGATCAAAGAAGTTAGATAGTCGTGGTCCATACTGTCCCAATATCGGACCACCTCTTCTTCATTTCAGTAATATTTGTCAGATTTTTCTTATTGACACTTTCCTTCATAAGTCCCCAAACATTTTCTATTGGAGTTTAGGTCAGGGCTATAGCTTGGCCAATCTAATAATGTCATATTTTTGAACGATGTCGAAACCGGCCTGTGAATGCTTTGAGATGATGTTTTGAATATCGTTGTCCTGCTGGAAAATCCAAATATTTCCATAGAACATGTGAGCAGATGTGTAAGTAAATGTTCCTCGAGAATATCTGTCCCAGTAAAATTTCTATGCTGTAAGCACTGTTCATATTCCCTTCAATTTTCTGGTTTCATGACCTGATGGAATCCCATATCCATTTGCAATATTTCTCCTTACAAAGACACGATAAACAGTGGACAAAGGGATGCCTGTTCTGACTCACTTTTCTGGAAATCACTTTTGGTGATCTGATGTCCCATTTGTTATTTTTCAAAACATAAACAGTGGACAAAGGGATGTAAATCACTTTAGGTGATCTTGTCCTCTTATAATATTGTAAAATCTCTAAATCATCCATACTGAGGATCACTGAAAATGTCGTCTGCTAGCAAGTAAACAAAGGGGGATAACTCTTCACAAACTAATGAAAAAAGATTAACGGAGTTGTCTCTCGAATGAAACCAAGCACTTGATAGCTGGTCAAGGTTGTTTATACTAGAAATCCAATTAAACATATTCCTAAAATTCTCAATAATTTCTGGTCATACTATAGGTTTCTGGTATGATGTGTGAAATCTGAGTGATTGTTTCCAGTCAGGAAACCTGTCCCACTGAGACCGATGTGTTAGAATGTGTTAGTGGCATTACATCTCCTGTTTTGCAGACTGACCAGGAGCTGGAGATGACCAAACAGAGGCAGGCCAAGACAGAGCAGAAGTCTGAGGAGGCGGTCAACAAGGCGGAGAATGAACGTGGACACATCAAGCGAGAGCTGGACACTGTCCGAGACAACCTTAGTCAGATCAGGTACACAATGAAGACTTTTGACCCTTTGTTTGTAATGACTGAAGAAAATATCTCTTGTTTACATCTGGATGCACTGGATCCGTTAACATAATGGTTTTCGTTTGCTTACTAGTTGCAGACTTTCAAAGTAAGGTGCAGATGCATAACATGTTTGATATTTAAAGCCAACAATGCACTGTATCAAGATACTATTTAAACTTCTAATGTGAAGCTCGTCCACAAAGCTGCTTGCTGTTGTTAAAAAATATAATTTCAAAGTCCCGTGCTGTGATTCGAACCACAGACCTTCAGATCCGAAATCGGATGCCTTGTTCACGTGACCTTAGAGGTTAACCCCTTTAGCAAGCTCGCACAGGTAAGGATGTCATCTATGGGATGACTTCATGCCCTGCTGCATGTACAATGTCTATTGAGGAATCATTAGACCTACTACATGAATGGACTATTCCAAACTTTTAAAACTTTTCCCGAGAAGAATGCGCATCACTGAGGTGAACAGTCTGCACTAATGAAGAATCATAATGTTGATAATGATATCAATGACCTCTTCAGTGAGGATCTGTCGGAGGCGAAGATGACGTACAATGCGTATGTCCACCAACTGAACGACATCCGACAGCAGCTGAAGGACAACGACCAAGAGATGAAGATCCTGGAGGTGAAGAATGAAAATGCAAAGGTGGCGGAGGAGATGCAGGCAACCAAGGTACAGTCCGTATTTCGGGGAGTCTGGAGCAGGACCTGTCTGCAACTCATTTTTGTGATCATAACTCACAAACCTAAACAGAGACTTATGACCGTCATAACGCTAAGATAGTTTTGTAGAACAGGGCCCATAATCGATTATCAGTTCCACATGCTTCATCCTTGATCATCTAATGTATCAGGTCTTCATTCTATAAGACATATTTTTCAGCTTAATCTTGTAAGTGACCCTCTGATTGATATCGGGGCTGTGGGGTAGCCTAGTGGTTAAAGCATTCGCACATCATGCCGAAGACTTCGGGTTCGATTCCGTACATGGGTACAATGTGTGAAGCCCATTTCAGGTGTCCCCCGCCGTGATATTGCTGGAATATTGCTAAAAGCGGTGTAAAATTATACTCACCCCACTCTGATCGTTATCTGATTCGCTTATTACTATTTTAGCACCGAATTTCATTCACTGTCGATTTTTAGATTTCAATATGCATGTCATATCTGTCACGTCAAACATTATGAATGTATATAACTATGGGAATAATGAAGACTCTTTTTAAATGCTGCAACTCCATGACTTTTTTTAAATAGATGGGTCTTTAGTCAGGTTTTTTAAGGTATGAACATTTCTTTGATTACATTTATTCTATTTTCATTTCAATATCTTATTGTCTTTGAAAGGTCCTTCTGGTATAACTCATATGTCACACTTTCCTTCACCAGGTTCGAGATTTCCAAACTAGAATCGCAGAGACAGAGTTCGAACACCGAAGATTGGAGTCAGAAAATCGGCAACTTGAGCAGAAACTGAGGACAATGGTGAGGTTATGGTGCAGGTTCTAACATTGTTATCAAGCAAGCGATGAACCTACACCGAAATGTCGCTCCCATTGTAATAAAGAAGTTTTTCACCCATTTTTCATTATTCTTCCTTAGTGCTCCAGCTTTTAAATGCCCTTCAAAGAAGCCAATACATTCCACCTGTTTATCCAGCCAAACACTCAGACAAGTCACTTCATGACCTTTGTATTATATGCACTCCACCCTTTTCAAAATTCTGGATCTGCCTCGTGTAAATAAGTTAAGGGCGACATCACAACTGTTTCCTCTGCTGCCTCCAGAAAGCCCAGAACAGTCACAAGCGGGATGAGCTGAAGCACAAGTGCAAGCAACTGGAGGGGAAGTTAAGGACGCTGCTGAGAGAGACACAGGAGGTCAAGATGGACAAGGAGGACTGTGAGGACAAGCTGGTGCAATGGTGAGGACACTCGTTCAGTTTTGTAATTGATGTCCAAATGATAACACTCATCAGTCGTATTCTTCTTGTTTTATACTGTCTGCCCTGAGATTTGTAAATATGTTTAGATTCACTTAAAAGAAAAGTTGATTAAATAAAGGACATGTAATGTATGATTCCACCTAACTTTAAGTCTTCAAGCCATTAAATGATGTCAATAGTTTCCCTGTACCTGATCCAGAATCTGACCTTGACCTGACACTGACCCTGGTCCAGTCCTGAATCTGACCTTGAACATTTCCTTGGCCTCAACCTTGACCTTGACACTGACAACTGACTGTTCTGTGACAAGATGATGAATATGTTAACAGTATGAACATAAGCTCAAACTGACAGCATTAATTATATGTATACACTTAATAAAAGTAGGGAAAAAACATTTGATTTTTGCACCAATGGTCAATATTTCTGTGCTTGTCGTAATACATTCTTTCTATACTAAAAAACAATATACACCTTCAGTGACAAACAGAGGGTCTATGATGAGAAGAATGTTGTGCGCATCAACAAGGAGATGCGACGTACGGACACCCTGTTTAATGCAACCATGGAGGAATACTCCAAGGTGTTGGCCATGAACCAGCACATTAGGGAACAACTCCGAACTGAAGAGGACAAGGCTTTCAAAACAGAGGAAATGATTAAAGTAAATGGTTATACTTTGTGTAATACTGATGCTTATCATGACTTTTACTTGACAAGAATATGTACTTTAGTATTAAAGTATGTATATTTATTTCTACTGTTTAAGTGCACCTTAGGAATATTATGTAAAATAAGTGTTTGAAATTAGCTACTCAATGAATTTCTAAAAGAAGTGCTTCAAAATGCATATATCTACTTTTGTGTTGATGCTGGCACCAGCAAGTCATGGTCTGTCATGGAGGCAGCATTTTAAACTGTGTGTATCACCCCTTCCGCAAACTGGGGCTGGGGATAAAGGAACAGTGTTCATCCATCCATCTTTCTGTTTATAATATCTGTTCCTTAATGATTTGTTTTCACACAGTGAAGAGAGGGGGGTCAGGGGATGGGGTGGAAGTAAATTTCAGAGGGATTCAGAAAAGGGTCAACAAAATGATATGACAGTCTTGAGAGAAGGGTTAAGATTATATTTCAGGGTCAAGCAAAATAAGTACAAGAGCATGTGGAGGGTCATTATTTTCAATTTCGTGCTTCAAAATCATCTGGCCCACCTCCACCTGTAATAGATGACCTGTCTCTTTCCTGAGAAACTGCATGTGATTTTGCATGCTCATAATGGATGCTTGTCAAGACTAAAGTTCAAAATGGGTGCCATGTTTTTTCATTTTCAAAGATTACAGCCCTTGATCAATGTTATATTACTGCATAGTGGCTGAAATGGGGCCAGTATGAGTGACTGAGTCAGTTTAGTTTTTACGCCTCACTCAGCAATATTCCAGCTATATGGTGGTGGTCTGTAAATAATCGAGTCTGGATCAGACAACCCAGTGATCAACAGCATGAACATTGATCTACGCAATTGGGATACAATGACACCTGTCAACCAAGCCTGACCACCCGATCCCGTTAGTCGCCTCTCACGACAAGCATGGGTTACTGAAGATCAATTCTAACCCGGATCTTCATGGGTGGGGCCATAATGAACTGATCAAACTGCTCACATTCCTTGGGGCAAGGGATACTGACAATGGTGTTCTTGTTGAGAGTAATCTCTACCCTGAGTATCCCATGTCTTCAGAACCAGTGTGAGACGTTGAAGAGGCAGGTGAAGGAGGAGGTGCACACTCGCACCGTGCTGCAGGCACGTATCAACTCCAACTCCACCGAGATGGACAGGACCCGCCAAGACTCAGCCAAGAAGCAGACTAAGGTACTGTAGCACTGATGACGAGGTTGTTGAATCAATGTCTGCTATACAGATTGCTTTAAGGATGAAACATGACAGTATTTAGTTGATAAAGTGCCCTTAATACTCAAGATCAGAGCAAGAGTTGTTTGGTTGTATTGGTTAAAAGCCAAGGCTCATTATGTACAGCATAGAAGTATGACCATGTTCTCCTGATACTACTAGATTTATTACTTTTCAGAAAGCTGTGTTCACAGACAAGTCTTTTTTAAGATTATTTACATTTTTCAGAAGGCATTTCAGCAACCCTTTTGTTTGAACAATGTGACTACGACCATTACCAGTATATAATGACACTGTAACTGCTCCTTCGTTGTTCTGTATGTGTCTGGTGTGTTGACCCCTCAGGCCCAGAAGGTGGCGGACGAGGTCGGCTCAGCGGTCAACAATGTCCTGGAGAAGGTGCAGAAGCTGAGGAACACCAAGGATGAGAAGGGCAAGGTGAGGAGGCTGATGCATAGAACATATTGTACAAAACAACCTCACTGCTAGGACTACCTTAAGTCTATGTTAAGGTATGTGAGTTATGGTTACCTTAGCGCTAAGGGACCGTTCATAATTTCATAATTTATGGCTTGTAATATATGCTTGTGATTGTCTCGGAATAGTTTGTGATGATGTCTGTTCCAGCTGAAGTCTGACCTTGACACCAAGATTGCCGGCATCCAGATGCAGCACAAGGAGAGTCAGACCACCTTCCTGGAGAGAATCGGTCATCTGGAGCCCCGCCACAAACTACTCAAGGTCAGTCACTTAGACCAGGTGATTCACCGTTAAAATAATAAGACACTACCCTGGTCATAAGTTGCCTCCAGGTGGATAGGGTTGTGAGAATCAGTGATTGGTTGATAGCTTGTGATTGTTCACAGTAGCAATTACTGGATTGTCCGGTCCAGGCTTGCTTATTTAGAGGTCACCATCTCAGCAGGAATATTGCTAAATGGTAGGTAAAACCAACCAACCAACAAACAAACACTTACACGAATGTTGCTGTTTATATAGGACTATAGAGAGTAGTATTTCTTTTGGAGACTGGACCGTATACAACAGCTGCGGGGGTGTATTCCATAGACAATAGACCTATAATGGTCTGTATTGCTACATGTAATATCTACAAGCCCAAAATTCAATTTCAGTCAAATTTAGTAGGACTAATGTCAGTTCACTTAACAGAAAGAATGCCAGTAAACACCAGCTATGAATAAAAGGCTGAAGCTGCAGCATGTGCAATATTAAGAGGTTATTACTGTCATATCATAACCTTTTTATCATATATCACATCAAGGGACGTAACTCTAAAATAAACTAGGCTCCGTCTATTGAAATTTCGAGAGTTTGCGTGTATTGATTCCGTACCAGTTTAGTAGAGGGGCAATACGGCTAATATGGATTTTCTGCCCAAGGGATGATATGTATTTTCGGCCAGAGTGGTCAATATGGACAGACATATGCCGACAGCCAGTATTGTATGTGCAAAATGGTCCATATTAATCATATGTATATGATCAATTCCATTAGTTTTTAATGGACTGTGTAGGGCACTTACAAGGTTGTACGGAAGTGGTGGTTAAGAGTTGGTATTGACGTAGTTGTCTTGTCGTTGTAGGATGAGGTGTTAAAGCTGGACAAGCAGCTTGACCACATTCAGTGGAAGTCAGACATGATGAACAAGAAGATGGAAGATATGGACGCCTCGGAGAACATGATGAAGAGGGTCATCAACAGTACAGACAAGATCATAGATAAACTCACGTAGGTCCATCTACTTACTAGCATCGAAAACCTTCCCGTTAAAAGTTTAATAAGTCATTTATGGTTTTGATGTTATTGCTAAACTGTCTATGTTATCTTCAAGGGGGATGATTTTATTTTATTTTGCTATTATTTTTACTATTCCTTAATACCTGCCATGTTTGCCAAATGACGTTTAGGGATGAACAGGGTACAGAATGTGAGAAGATTTTTATTTGGTGCTAATATTGCAAAATGGATACTTTGGAGGGTCTTCATTATGAAGGAATCACATGTTAAATCTTCTACTGGTACACTGGTAAACCGGGCGGTACCTTGACAACACTCACATTACATATGTTTGATATTTCCCATTTTCAGTGAAGAACTAGATGAGCTGAATATTCAGCTTGCTGCTGCCAAGAAGATTGAAGATGACCTTCACAAGTCCTACAATGAGGTCCTTGGTGAGAAGAGTTCAATCTCTATGAAATGGTTGCTTTAAGGATTCTATAATGTAGTATAGTATCAGGCGGTCAGACTTGCTGACTTCATTGACCAATGACGTCGTGTCCCAGTTGCGTAGATTGATTCTCATGCCATTGGTTTAGTATTGTCTGGTCAAGACTTGATTATTTACAGACTGTCGCCATATAGCTGGAGTGAGTGAGTGAGTATGGTTTGCACCGCTTTTAGCAATATTCCAGCAATATCATGGCGGGGGACACCAGAAATAGGCTTCACACCTTGTGCCCATGTGGGGATTCGAACCTGGGTCTTCGGTGTGACGAGCCAACGCTTTAACCACTAGGCTACACACGCGACGCGACACTACGCTACACGCGACACGCACACACACGCACACACACACACACACACACACATATAGCTGAACATTGCTAGGTGCAGCATTAAACAACGAACAGAAACAGATATCATTAAAGAATGGATAATCGAGAATGTTTTCAAAGTAGAAGCATTTATGTCATTTATACCTGATGTGGATGAGCCATTTTGCATACCAACTTAGATAGAACCAACTGATAGATGGTCCAGTCACAGCTGGCATAATAACCAGGTCCAGTTCACAGCCTCTGCTGGGCGTATATTTCTTGTGAGTGTATTTTGAATGGGCCACAGATATCAGTCGGGGTGGTGAGAGTTATGTCTCTTAGTGTGTTTCCAGTTGGCTGGTGTTCAGTCTTGTACATAAAGTACAGGTATTGCATTCAGTTCCAAATATATCTTATAATTTGATGTCAGGGTATATGATTAAAGGGTTAATGTGTGAGAGTTTGTATGTCATACCCAATATTAGTCCTTGACCCAAAATGACAAATGAAGTTCCGAGGTAGAATTTGTCTTCAACAACCCATGCTTGTCCTATTACATGGCTAACGGGATCGGATGGTCAGACTCTCTGACTTGGTTGACACATGTCATCGTATACCATTTGCCTAGATCAAGGCTCATGCTGTTGATCACTGGATTGTCTGGTTTAGACTCGATTATTGACAGACCGCCACCATATAGCTGCCATATTGCTGAGTGCTGCATTAGCTACACAAACCAACCAACCAACCTTGACTCCAAATCAACCCTTGACCCCCATATCCTCAGCCCTCATTCTGATAAAGGAGATCTGGTCTAAATAGGGTATGACATGAAAACTTACAGTAACTACTGTATATTGACACAGCTCTCTAGGTATGAATGTACCATTGTAAAACTGTACAAGACGTACCTTAGCTTAGGCTTTGAGTTTGGGGTGATCATTTACAGATGAAGAGCACAGAAATGACCCTGATCAACTGGAAACATGCTTGGTACAAACTGATCTGCTACTTTTACTCTTACTTTTCAAGGTATATAACATATTTCCAAGATATTCTTCAATACTGTTTTCTTATTGCAGGGCGTATCCGTGACAACACTAGTAAACATGAACATCTGTTAGAGGACAGACAGGAAGTTCATAAGAAACATGAGGTATGGTAGCCTGGACATTTCATATAGTCATGAAGTAGATTTCACATTGGAAACTGTATATTGCTAGTTACAAAATTGTTGATTATGTTGACTACTGATTTGATTATTGATACGGTTATCCTCAGTATACATGAAGAAGCTTACTAGGATTTAGCTGAATCATTTGTTTACATTGTGTTCCTTACCAAATTTTGCAAAAGAAAAAACAAAGCATGTGTTTATCAACTTAGGGAATGATCATTTATAAATATTGCAAGGTCTCTGGATTTGAACTTATTAATTTATTTTAACATATTGTGCGGACCCCTACCCGGAGCGGTTTACCAGATTCATCTAGAAAAACTGAAACAACCAATAGAATGTTCTGTAGTTAAGTCCACTTCTGGAATTGTAAAGGACCACCAGTATAAGCTGCATGTTTAATGTTGCATTGTTTGTGCACACAGTCTGAGAAGAGGCGCTGCTTGTACAAGAACAAGGACTTGGCATCACAGTACCGGCAGCTACAGAATGATTTCATCGTGATGAAGGAGAAGCTTCTACGAGGGTACGAGGACAGAGTCAAGTTAGAGAGTGCCATCACAGACACTAAACAGGTACGTCCAGACAACACACGAGTAACTTTTGTATGATTGTCATTTTACATGTTGGTAAATGATAAATGCAAATACTTTATGGATGACAACCGCTATATTATATTATGATGCTCTCTTGATGACAATGGTATAAGAATCTATACTGAAACGTTGTATCAAAATATAGTAAAGAAATTGTCATCTATAAAGAGTCTTGCCTTTATAGTCATAAATACTTTCTTTACAGTTAAATTGTCCCACATCAAGATAACATGTATTGAAGAAACTGTAAAGTAGTGTGAATAACTTGCTGGCTGGCTGGCTGGCTGGCTGGCTCCCTCCCTCCCTCACTCACTCACTCACTCACTTACCCACCCACTCATCCATTCGTTCATTCTTGCACTGTCTAATGCACTCACTCAACTCAAACACTGATGAATTCACTCACTCAAATCTAATACTGCTCCCCTCTTCTCCCCTACAGCTACAGTCTCTACAGAAGAAGCTCCATGGTGCTCTCACCGAGTACTTTAAACTCAGTGGACTGTATAATGAGTCTGAGCTCTGCAAGTTGGAACACGAGTCCAGTCAGAACGGTGCCCGAGTGTCCCAACTGCAGGACAAGATGGACGAAGCTCTGGTCAGTATCACCCACTTCCTCCAGACACAGATGGATGGTCAGACTGCCCGGAAGATGGCCTGGAACACTGTCCGATGCAGGACGAGGCTCGGGCACAGGGCCTGAAGACACCACTCCCAGACTATGCCAGCAGACCAAGCACTGTAGTGTCTGCATGATACTCAAAACTGTAACGATAATGCAGATTTGGTACAGATAGCTTGAATAATGGTATTTTGAAATATATTTTCAAAGATTTGATATTTACCAATAATCCATTTAGAAAATGGTCATAATGTTGAATTCATAATTAGTCAATGTCCAAAGATCCAAAGATTGCATTCATAACATTTTCCAAAAAGGAAATAACTTGAAAAATTAGGTGTCATCAAGTTAGCTATTTGGGATAGATGTCTGTTGTTACTAAATAATACAATGTTTACAGATTTATTTATATAAAAGAGCATCCTAAATACCTCAGGCATAAAGGCATTTAGTTTGATATTGCCTTATTGTCAATGTCAGTTCTTTATTGTGTCAGTGGTCATGATCTCAATGAAGGGACCTATATGGTAAATAATGCCATTGAGTTTGTTATTATGCCAGTTTGAAAACAGTTTGAAATGGGTAAACTAATGTTTTCATGAAGTGATCAGTTAGCTTATGTCCAAACAGAGAAGACTGTTAGCAAAGATGTAAATGTTGGTTGGCATGTTGCCTTTTTAACAAACAAGAACTCAGCCAAAATCTAGTTCAGTTTTTATGCCATAAAGTGGAGTGGAAGTCCTATTTTGTACTGATAACAGCTGTGATATATTTTGATCAAAGTCATTTGTTATGGTCTATATTTACAATGTTTTCCGTCCATGTGTTTTGTGCCTTCAGATCTTTTTGCCTTTTAGCCAAAAATGTTTCCTTGTTTCATATATGCATACATTTACTTGCCCAAAATATCCGATTATACCATAACATTGAGGTTTCCATGGAAACTGTACAAAACCTTGTTACACTGATGAATCATATTGCTGTGATAAACATACAGTATTGTACTTGTATTGTACTCTTACAGGATTGGTGAAGTTGTATGATTTCGTCTTGCAGCCTGGGTCCAAAGTATTTATGTTATGGTTGCCTATTTGTTGGTGTCACGGTAGAAATAAATATTAAATCTACTTATGTGGTGTGTGTTTTTCATTCTTCATTTCCCACAGCTGCATAATAATAGAGTGTTTGCTAGTAAGGTTGTGCCTCACCCACATCCCAAGCCCCATCTCCATCCCTTGTAGTTTCCTGAACAACTTTTTCCGGTATAAAAATAACAAATAGGAAATATTGTTGTGTACAAGTATTCATTGTCGTGTTTTGTGTTGACATTCAGTAAAATTCTCCTTATATTTAGTTATTGTGCAATACAGCAACCTGGAGTATCATAGTGGTTAAAGCATTTGCTCACGCCTTAAACCGAGTTCGATTCCCCACATGGATACAATATCTGAAGCCCATTTCTGGTGTCCCCCGCCGTGATATTGCTTTAATATTGCTAAAAGCAGCGTGAAACTAAACTCACTGACTTGTGCAAAACATTGTTCTCATATGGAGACATACATACTGTACAAGAAAATACTGATCTTCCCTGTGGAGTGAATGTATGGTGATAATCTCTTGCCTTCCGGGAGAATAATCTATTAATCCAAGGTTTGAGTAAGTTAATCTATATAATACCTATTGACTTATTTAGAGTGAGGATTTGCTTAAGATTTCCTTCCTGGGGGCTGCTACTGTGTCGACCACAGGAGCTTGTAAGCAAAAACTGACATCAAGGGATATATAGTCTCAGAAGGTTCTTAGGGCTATATAAAAGATATTTTTATTTGATATAGGAACACAAATCAAACGTCTTTGACCATGACAAGGTTGACCACGAGGACAACGACCAATCATGTCGGTACTCGTGTCTGAAATGGCTAGCTGACCACTGGAAAAGCAGGGTTCAACAAGGTTGCCTGGCGCTGGTTCAAGGCTCCCTTTGAGCGCGCCGGGACCCAGTGTTGCGTTGTACATGCCATCTATTCACAACGTCACAGTGCGTATGACGCAACAGAGAGCAATTCCGCCCATATATTATCACAAATGAAATGATGTCACAATCTATATAGTATGACGTCACTCATACACTGACGTCATAAAGAACAGCGACGCCGCGCCAATACAAACAGACTGGGAGGAGACGTCCAAGATCAAACATGCAGTCTCCAGCAGTCACGGGGCCTGTTGGCACCATGGCGGGGAAGCATGTTCATCACGACTGGATGTTAGATCCGAAAAGACACCCACGGCGCATGTTCAGACATACAATGTCCCACGTCAAAGATCTGTCGACTGATGTAAGTTGAGCATGTTATCTGTAGTCATGGCGACGAACTTGATGTTGCCAGATGATGTAAATTTATTTATGGATGATGGGAGTCTAGCCAAATTGGTAATATATATGCCATAAGCATTGAATTCACAATACCCCCATTCCTTTAGGCATCTCGGATGCATTTTGCCACTCTTGCATATCATATTTTTAAATTATCAAAAATTATAGAATTATTTCAAAACTATTTCGACCATCATTGAATAAACTCAGAATTGAAAATGCTAAATTAACTACTGGACTGATTTGTTAAAGAAGTGCGCTTTACGGTAAATACTTTCGTGGCACTCCCATCAGCAATAAACGATCAGATGCAGGTTATTCAATAATGCAGGATTCTACAATGTCAAGGTAGAACTGGACCTCAGTCGGTCCACTCGTACGAGTTGGACCCGCGACCCATGTGTTGGTGCTTGTTGCAGGAGCCGGTTATGTACAAGACATACTGCAGGATGTGTGAAATGAAACAGCCCCGCAAAATCAAGGTCACCAGTCCACCAGTGCCTAAAGAGAAGGTCGAATTTAAGCGTAAGAATTTCAGGATCCTTTCTGCAAAGGACCATAGGGCTACGATGATCGAGTCTATGTTAAATCTAAAGAATGAGAGCTCCGAGATCGTCTCCGTAGTACCATTTCTTTGCAGAATATGTCCGATATTTGCACGTCCTCTATACTTCTGTTACTTCAGGGAGGCAAGTAAGATTGTGGCTGAAAAATGATCATGCAACCCTGACCAAAATTGAGGAAATTGCTCAATTTGTATGACGTTATAACATCTTGTTCCAAACATGTATGATAAATTACCTACCGATCTTAACTATGGCCAAGGGTACAGTGTGTGAAGCCCATTTTTTGGTGTCCCTTGCCGTGATATTGATGGAATATCGGTGGACTCACTAAATATGGCCGACACAGCAGCCACAGTGGTGAAAGAGTAGTGCCGCTTTTGTCTTTTACAACGATACTGTGATGGTGTGTGTGAGTTTAGATTTACCCTGCTTTTAGCAATATTCCAGCAATATCACGGCCGGGGGACACCAGAAATGGGTTTCACACATTGTACCCCTGTGGGGAATCGAACCCGGGTCTTCAGCGTGACGAGCGAACGCTTTAACCACTATACTACCCCAACGCCCCTACTGTGACGGTGTTTTGTGGTGAACAGTAGATCTACTGTCCTTAACTTGAAGAATCTTCCATCACCTGACGTTAGTTTCCCTAGCAACATAACGACTGTTATGTAGCTTTGAATGAGAATCCATCTAGAAATAGTGTCACCACAACTTACACAATCAGGACGAGATTTGCAATGATAGCGTAAAGAAGCCTATGATTGTGTGTTCAAACCCCAATTATGCTTGTCGGTATAAACACCCAACCGACGCATGGTCGTGTGTATCACCAAAATGGTAACCGTCTGAGACCCGGATCACTTCGGGTTTTATTCACACATTAAGAGACGACAAATCCCTGAAGTTTGGCTTCGAATTGGTCTTCAGAAACCAATGTGTGTCGTAAGAAGCGACTATAACGGTATTCGGTGGTCAGGCTTGGTGACTTGGCTGCCCAGATCGATGTTCATGATGTCAATCCCTTCTTTGTTTTGTACAGACTCGAATATTTTCAGACCTCCGTTATGTTGCGTGAACACATTTTTATTGCGGCGCTAAAGAACAAAGAACAAGACAAAACACCGTTAAACCCAACACTCACTCATGTAAACGTCCTGTCTACTTGTAGAATGTACCTTCAGTAACCCATGCTTGTCGTAAGAGGCGACTCACGGGATCAGGTAGCCAGGCTCCCTGACTTGGTTGACACATGTCATTGTATCCCAACTGCGTAGATCGAATCTCATGCTGTTGATCACTGGATTGTCTGGTCCAGATCGATTATCTACAGACTGCCGCCATATAGCTGGAATATTGCTGAGTGCGGCGTAGAACAACAAACCAAACCAAACCAAATCTAATTGTTTTATAGGTAATGTGTATACAGGGAATGGAAAAATGATATATTATCGGTGTTGTAATTTATGATAATGACCGTTGTTCTGATTTTGCTGCAACTAGTGCCCGCCGCCCCTAAGCTCCCTGCTGCTCCCCATCACGATCACCTAAGGTGCCAGTGCTACCAGAAGTCTCTCAAGGTTCTCCGGGACATCCAGCACTCAACCACGCCCCTTGGTCGGGACAGATTCAGCTACATGCCGGACAAGTAAGATACCTAGCAAAAGTTTCATTCTTGACAAATATCCCACTACGGGTACACTCATCCTTCATCAATTAACCCTGTTATTTCAAACTCTAGGAGGTATGTGTGTGATTCAATAAACAACGGATCTATGGAAGCAAAACGAAACTGTCGAAGGTTCTTTATGGTAATTGTCATCATCATCATCATCATCTCTGGTGCATCCCGTGTTTTGTCACCAATCCTTGGCAGTTGAGAACATCCTTGGTTGGTCCATTGATTTACCACCATCAGGATGACAGAACAACCTTCTTCATGTCTCCTGAATACATTTCCAAGGTGTGAGCAAAATATTCTCACATGAATTTAGTGAAATAAGTTCAAAATGTTGAAATACAAATGTTTCAAAAGAATATACATTTTTAATCACTCTTTATACTTTTGTTTTTGGTTTAGGGCAGTTTATACACAAAATAAGAAATGTTGTGGTTAAAAGAGTCTTTTTTAAAGTTCAGTTTGGTCAGTTTGCTTTCCTATGTGATGATTTCTTTTGAAGCAGCTAATGATGACTCCTATGACTCCATGGTGGACATGTGCACATGCAGTGGCGGATCCAAGGGGGTGTGGTGTGTGGTTTTTTCCAACCCCCCTTTTGAAAATGACTTAAGACCACATTGAAAAAATAAATTTGCGTTGGCGGAGCCAAGGGAGGTTCAGGGGTTTTTAACACACACACACACACACACACACCTGTGATCCGCCCATGACATGTATGTTGTCATCGATGTGGCCAACAGTCGGCCGGGGCCCCGTTCCTCAAAGCGATCGTTGCGCTACGATGGTCGTAAGTCTATGTTAAAGTATGGGAGTTACGATCATCTTAGAGCTACGATCGCTTTGAGGAACGGGGCCTAGAAAAAACCGGTTTAGCATAATCGAATAGGCCCTAAAATATCCATTGAGATTATCTCCACTGAGGTGGAGAGAACTATCGTGAGGACAGATGACAAACATTGGAGTCGACATCCACTGTTGTCGTCTGCGCAAACAAGCATGCTGCACATGTGGGTAGAATTCGTGATCCAGTGCTAGAGAACGTCTCCCTGGATCGCGGAAGGGTCAGATTTTCAATGCTCGGCCACGCTATGAAAAAAGATGGCTCTTATTGTTACTATAAAGGGGCTTAGGACAAGGACTAGTAGACTTTGAGTCTGTGTCTGGTATCAATGTGAAACTGCGGCGGCATGGTGTCTGGGTGGTACAACCATAAACACGGCATAATTCCGGACTCATACAGGCAACCACACGGGCGTTAGAAGTACGTGCAATGTTAAGGCAATGTCAAACCCCATTTCACCTTACCTCCACGGCTTTTTCAGACTGATGAACAACGTGTGGGCCAGCTACGTGATGAACGAGCAGACACAGCTTCCACTGTCCACCTTGGTGGTGCGCTGGCAACTACGGCGCTACATCCCCAGCTACGACATGCGCGAGCTCCACACCATCCTGTCCTGCTTCGGCAGCATCACCAGCATCTATCAACAGAGTCCCAACAGCGCCATGGTCATCTTCGACGACATCTCCTCGGCGTGCCGGGTGATGCAGACGAAACAATTGGGGCAGCTCCGGAACAAGATCCACTGCAGCTGGTGGCACCGTCTCATGACCAACAAGAGCTTCTACACCGGGAAGAAGGGCGTCAGGGTTAAAATGGACAGATTTCTGAAACTGCTGAATTAGTGTTTTTCCTGTATGATATGTCGTTTTGTTGGATACAGCTCAGGAAGCGCTTTGAGCATATCCCTGTGACGTGGAAAGGCGCTATATAAATGGCCTATTATTATTATTATTATTATTATTAGATATATAAACTATTCTTGGCTGGGCATTGGCACACCGATGAACGCATTATATAAGTAGGATGGTGGCATAGCCCAGTGGTTAATATGTTGGTTCGTCACGCAGAAGACCTGGGTTGGATTCCCCGCATGTATATAGTGTGCGATTCCCATTTCCACCATAATATTGCTGAAATATTGCTGAAAACCCATGCCCACTAACTTGCTCTTTATTCATGTTACTTAAGTCTGTGTTACAAAGGCAAACTGTAGCGCAAAATAGGGTTGCGCAACACAGAGAAAATGACCAGTCTTCCTATATGCGAGCTACATAGGAAGACTGGTAATTTTCCCCTCTGTTGCGCAACCCTATTTGCGCCACAGTTTGCCCGTGGTCACAGTAAAACAGTTATGATGGTATTCCTGCTACAATGTTTTGTGGAACATGACTCTGGTTTTAACTTTCTAGTCATCCGTTGGGCGGTTGTGTAAGTTGATGTAATCTCATTAAAATTAAGACTTGTTTTCTATACAACACATCTGTCCCTTTAAGGACTAAAGATCTGACCTTGGTGAGTCAGTGTATCCATTAACACGAAAAGAAACAATGCTGTTGAAAGTACGATTTCCTTACATGTTTATGTTTTCCTGATTAATTGTATTGGCTATATGTTTATACTGATGGTCGGAACTCTCCGGCTTTGCACTATGTGTGCGTTTTAACGATAAATGTTTTGCTTCCATTAGCAAGCACATCTTCACTTCTGGCTTTTCCTAGCATAGTTTATACCATTGGTGGTACCTATATCTCCAATGATCATCTGACGACAGCTTTTGAAATCGTGTCTTGAATCGTTACTGTAGTGGGATTGCAATTTACTGTTGTGACAACTGGGTTATATTTTACCAAGGTACGGTAGTGGTATTATATACTAACGTATTTTGATAGTAGGGTTGTAATGTACCATGTTGCTTTAGTAGAGTTGTAATTTACCACGTTCAGGTAGTACGGTTGTAATGTATCTTGACACGGTTATGGGTAGAATTTAAAAAGTTATAATAGCGGATTTGTAATTTACCGTTTTTGGTAGTTTGGTTGAAATTTACCATGTTACGGTAGTAAAATTGTAATTTATTACGGTACGTTACTAGGGTTGTAATATATCACTATTCTGTAACGGGGAAGTATGTTGCACAGTTATGAATTTGGATTTGTAATTTATCATGTTACTGTATTATAGGTTTGTAATTCATGGGGGGAGGCTAGTTCGGTTGTAATTGAACATGTTACGGTAGTAGGTTTGTATTTCACGATGGGACGCTAGTTCGGTTGTAATTGAACATGTTACGGTAGTAGGGGTGACATTTACTAAGTCATGGTAATGACGTTATGGTTTACGATGTTCTTTTCTTTGGGACATTATTAGGCGTTATTCTTCAACAACGCAATATTTTTTAACTGATTTGGAAAGATTTGATCATTGGAGATATAGAACCATCATATGCAGAATCGTTAAAACATTGGAGGTGACCAGAAAGGAAGTTTGCAATTATTTGCGTAATATGCCGTTTGGAAGAAGAAAAAACTCTGTCCTGGGCCCCGTTCCTCAAGGCAATCGTAGCGCTATACGACTGTCGTAAGTCAATGTTAAAGTATGGGAGTTACGATCATCTTAGCGCTACGATCCCTTTGTGGAACGGGGCCCTGGGTCCAGTTTCACTAACGAATCACAACACTACGACAGTAGTAACTCGTATAGTTTAACATAGACTTGCGAGAGTCGTAGCGCTACGATCGCTTTGTGGAATGGGACCCAGATTTGCTAGTTAGGGTTTGGTGTTTATGTCATATTTTAACATAGGCCTTCAAGATAATGATAAAATATAGAAGACCATAGGCAATTTTAATGAATCGACGGTTTTTAATGAATATCTTTTTCATTATTTCGTGTTTCTTCACATGTTCATCACGTTTACGAATATATTCGACACATCCCTAGAATATACATAAGTAACGATTTTGGTAGTGTTGCCATGTTTTTCAGCAACTATGAAAACGCACGTTTGTTTTATTGCAGGTTCTGTTAGCCCATTGTGTTACTACTATTCCATTGTGTAAATCAGGGTAAGAAGAATTACATAATAAAATGATAAATGGATACATGTCTTGTGTATCCACTATTATACTAGCACCATATGGAAGCTAGTTTCTAGTTGCTTTTCATAATGTTATCGGGGCGGTGGGGTAGCCTAATGGTTAAAGCGTTGGCTCGTCACGCCGAAGACCCGGGTTCGAATCCCCACATGGGTACAATGTGTGAAGCCCATTTCTGGTGTCTCCCGCCGTGATGTTGCTGGAATATTGCCAAAAGCGGCGTAAAACCAAACTCAGTCAGTCAGTCAGTCATGTTATCAAACTGAGCTTGCCTGTACATATACGTCCTGACTAAGATACATATTCACTATTCAAGAGAATAATGCAAGAGACGGGCTACAGACATAAAGATTCACTCACTATACCATTTAAATATATTATTATTATATATTAAGATTAACAAGGAATTACTATTTCTTACCAATTTAAACCAGAAAAGGAAAATTAAACTCTAAAAGAAAAATAGGGAATTGGAGTTAGTGAGTTAAAGTTTAAGTCGCACTGGCTTTTTTTCAGCCATTTGGCTGTCAAGAAAGGAAGGTATATTTGTTCATTTTCTGTGAGGAGTGGGTGGGTGAGAGAGAGGGGGGGGAAAGGGAGAGCAGTATTCAAGAGTGTTGGCGGTCACAGAAGTTTAAACTTTGCTGAAACCCACCAATCTGGGTCTTGTTCTGACAAATCAAGGAACTGAATCAAGTGAACCAGAATTTGAACTTAACCTTTCCAGAGTGCCCAAGGGACGAAATACTGTGCAGCATATCATCCGTAAACATTAGAAAACAGACCATTAATCACTTTATTGAATCTGAAGAAGTGACAGGAATATTCTCTTATCAACCGCTACAGCATAAAGAAACAATACACATTTAGTTTAGTCCAGTCAGCTCTGGATGCGAGAATGGATGCAAGTAACTTGATCTGACAAGATGAAGATAAGGCAATAAGTGACATCAACCAGTACTCACCTGATGAAGGAGCAAGAATTAGCTCTGAAACGTCTTGCAAAGAATAAAAAGAAGTTGTTGTCCATAAAAGTGTCATGTATTCTTGATCTGACACATCCATCTGTTCACAGTTCTGAGTGAGGAACATTTTAAGCTGCTGCTGCGGTGTCAGCAATATTCCAGCAATATCATGGTGGGCGTGTCAAACATTGTACTCACATGGGGAATCAAACTGGGTCTTCAGTAGTGACCTCAAAACAAAGGATGGTATGATATAAATAACAAACTACACTGAAAGATAAAACACAAGTTTATTGTACAATTCTACAAACTGTACAAAGAGGTATAAAATTATCACTGAATCTTAATATCAAAAGCACTACAATTCAGTCTTACAAAGACGAGTGCAACTAAAAAACTGACATAACCATATCTAAAAGTCATCAATAAAATAACGCTAGAGCTAATGTCTACTTGTCTAACAAGAGTTTTTCCACATTTCATCATGCATAAAAAAAGTTCAATTTGTTCGTCACTCTGATGGAATGTTCTGCTGTTACTTACATTATTTACAAACATAGCATTGACAAATAGCCATGAAGCCATTAGCTGCCTTTGCACAACACTACCTTCTTTACAACTGACCAGGAGGGTTTGGATGTACATGTATATTAAAAGAGATTTAAAAGAAAAAAATCAGTAGATACTAAAAATGTGGTCAAAAACATAACTAACAAATTAAAACAAATTAAATAAGTAGTAGTGAACAACCAAATTAGGTTACCATAAAAGTAATTCTTTAAGAGTCACTGGTGTGATCATCGGAGGTATGAGACAGTCTAACCATGGTTACCAGTCTTCAGTTATGTGGCTTGCAACCCAGACAGGCATTTCTCCTGTATCTTCAATAGTTTTACACTGGTGTGGTATGTCAATATCAATTTAAAGACTGGTGTTGGCATGGTTCCCTTTAATATCATATTTTGCATATAAAATGTAAATAACTATAGCCGTTTTTCCTGAGGACATTGCTAATTAGTATTAATCTTTTTAAAATCTAAAATGAGTAAATAAGAACATCTTAAACATAGATGCTATAAAACTGGTTGTTGAACTATATACATTATCAACTTGTATGTACATAAGCAGGTTTGAGGGATCTATTTGATATTGACGAATGTTGGCGCTGTTTCCACCCCACAGTTGTTGTTTTTCTGAGCCATGAGGACATAGCCGTCGTTCCCCCAATACGTAGACCAGGAGTTCTTGATGAGCCAGTAGGCCTGGTTGTTCATCACTCCGTAACCAACAGCCAGGACGGAATGATCAAGGGAATCGGGATCGCTGCCTGCAAACAACATATACCATTGATAACTATAATAAGTCTTCTTACAGAGTCAAGTTCCAGGTAGCTGTTTACATTCAATTTGAATTTGCCTGGTTAATTGATCAGTGTGAGCTCAGTTTTAGTCTCAGCTCCATTTGAAGTACATAAATCTATTTTACTGTGAGACTAAAGAAGGCTACCAGTCACACGAACATCTCATCCAAACATACATCCATTCACTGAACAATGGCACATTAAGAACTGTCCCTTTAACTATCCCATTATGAAATGGTGCATGATTACAGAGGAGAAGACAGGTCTGACATTGCTACCACCAAATCTCACAAGTGGGCAAAAAAGCAAAAATACATAGGATCTGTTGTGCCCTGGAGTTGCCCAGGGTACAAGCCCAGGTACAGAGGACCTTAATCCATTATAAGGTAAAACCCTGAGGGGCTGAGGAATCCCATTTGGGGTACAGACATGTGGTGCTGAGGATCTATTCTGCCAAGGAATCCCAATTAAGCTTCAAACCTGAGTAATGCAGTTCTATCCAATGAGTGAGTGAGTGAGTTCAGTTTTACACCGCTTTTAGCAATAATCCCGCAATATCATGGCATTGAACACCAGAAATGGGCTTCACACACTGTACCCATGTGGAGAATCGAACCTGGGCCTTCGGCGTGTTGAGTGAACGCTTTTGACCCATAGGCTACCCCACCACGCCCTGTCCAAGGGAAATGGACACAACTTACCACAAGCAGGTTCATAATACACTCCATTAGCGTAGAAGGACAGGGACTTGTGGGAGGCATCAATGCTGACAGAGATTGGACCTTCGTTGGCAATGGCCACTCGCAGGGCTTCTTCATCATTAGGGGTGACGTTGACGTAGCCAGACAGCTGAACCACAGGTGTCACTTTTTTCGCATGGCAGGTTCCATCAGCGCCGAGGTAGGGGCCGTACTGCTCCTCCGAGGTCAGGCCACCTGTCTTCATGATGTACATGTAGGACCGGAAGTCTTCGCCTCCATCACAGGCATTGTTGCCCTCCCCCCAGGAACAGTCCATCAGCTCTTGTTGGGACAGACGCACCAGGTTGCCAGTCTGTGGGGACAGAGATGGTGGGCAAGTCACAGATAGTGGAAAACAACGAGGGTACTTGACTTTTAGTTTGTTTGTATTTCATTGGTGACAATGATTTATTTGTTTGTTTGTTGTTTATCGCTGCACTCAGATATATTCCAGCTATATGGCCGTGGTCTGTTACAGTGTCTGTTACAGTGTAAATAATCGAGTCTGGACCAGACAATCCAGTGATCAACAGCATGAGCATTGATCTACGCAATTAGGATACAATGATGTGTCAACCAAGTCAGCGAGTCTGACCACCCTGATCCCATTAGTACCCTCTTAGGACAAGCATGGGTTGCTGAGGATCAATTCTAACCCAGATCTTAATGGGTCTGGTGAGCTGTATCCAGCTTTATTCCAAAAGAATGGTCCCTACAGATAATACTCATGTTGGGGACTGAACAAGTTTGGTGATGAATCTTCAAGATTCCTTGTAAACTTTAGGTTTAACAATACAAAAATAATAAAACATGTCGTTAGGATGAGAAAGCCACAATAACTCGGTGCGCCTAGTGGCTGCAAGCGTTGTATACTCCCCAGGGAGTTGAGATTGATAATGCGATGTGCTGTTCAGATTGACATCCAATGATCGAGGGAAAAATACCAGCGCCTTGAGCATGCACCAGTGCGTGGATATGTGCGCTATATAAATATACTATAATAATAATAAATAATATTTTCTGACATGTACATTTTATATAATTTTTCCCAAACATTCTGTATCAAAGTAAAAATATTAGAATAGTTTTGATTGAAAGAGTATAGCAGTATTCAGATACACCTGCATACCCTCAATACCATGGAGTCCAACACAAGTCCACTCCCAGTCAAAGTAAGACTGAATGAGATACGAACACATATATTTTTGAACCTATTGTTTTCCACTATTTTAAATTAAGGACATCATCCACTTTGACTCAAAATCAGAAAAGATTGTGCTCAAGACAATCTCCAAACATACCAAATGAAATTTGAACCTATACAAGGACATTGTTGCCATTGAATATATCTGTATGTATTACCTAAATATCCAGAACCTTCCTGCCCCATTCTTTGATGGGGAAAGTGAGTGTGGGAACAGAAAGCACTAAAGTTATGTCACTACAGGAAACACCAATGTAGTAGTGTCTGATAGGGATTGTAATGTGAGTTATTAAAGTTTTAAAAACATATTTTCCATTGAAGAATTGTAAATGTATGAATAAATCATATTTCACTTATAACATACGTCATTAGTTGACAATAGATGCAACATTCAGATCACCAAGATGGCCAGGTATTCAAACTGTTTGGTGACTGTAAGAAATTGAACATACCGTATATGACCGTCTATAAGCCGACCCCATGGATAAGCCGACCCCCAAACTTGACCCTCAAAATCAGTGTCAAAATCATATCTCTCATGGATAGGCCGCCCCCTCGCAATGGGTCGCGGCCAACAGAGACCAGAGTACCCGGTAAGTATGTTCCATCAACGACGAGACACCATTACGAGAATATTACATAATAAAGATTACCGGTGTTTGTTTACCTTTTTTTAACGATCACTGCTTGCATCAACAACGAGATGCCATTTGGAAAGTGGATATACAGCGTAAGTGTTGGTGAGAATATTACATAATAAAGATTACCGGTGTATTGTGGCAACATGTGTTTGTGTTCCTTTTTATATCCCGACGATCACTGCTTGCATCAACAACGAGACGCCATTTTGTGAAATCGGTGAGTATGGAAATGTGAACCCAAGAGAAAAAGTACCATCGGTACCAACTTTTGTTTCAAAATATATTATTTAAGTGTCCATATTTCATCTATATATATATGACAATAAGAAAAATAGTCCACTAACAATAAACACGCGACAAACTCATCCCACAGACAACTGGCAGTTACCAATAATTATAACTTTGGTCCACATTATTCAAAGAATTCACTGTCATATATATTGTGTCTACTCACGGATCGAAACGAAGTGTAGTTGACAGAAAATGCATAATATATTTTGCTTCTCTAAATATCATATTTATTGTAGCAACAAACTGGCTTGCTTATTTTACCCCATTCAACAATCACAAACTGATTACCGCCTCGTTCCATGTCACGTGCTTACCACGTTCATGATGGTCCGTATAACCTTAGTGTTGATTATATATTTTTTACATAAAAACTATTACACAATGCTAGGATTTATTCTTTTGGTTAAATAATAGTATTCAATCAATAGAATTCATCCCGTTATATTATTGTGCATGTTTGAACTTGTTCGCGGGGAAACGTGTGCACAGCTGATTGCTATTTCCGGCTTTGTGTACGAGACAAATACGCACGGTAATCTTAATTAATTTATAGAGCAAAAACTGTAACTAAAATTACACAATGCTAGGATATATTTCTTTGGGCTAAATAACGGTATTCTGTATTATATTTTACTGATGACTGCGTCAGAATTCGTCCCGTTATATTATTGTGCATGTTTGAACTTGTTCGCCGGGAAACGTGTGCACAGCTGATTGCTATTTCCGGCTTTGTGTACGAGACAAATACGCACGGTAATCTTAATCCCTGCAAATAAAACAATGCCCAGCAAAAACAACTTATAACTTAAATGGTAATTAATCTTGTCTAGTGATGTTTAATTGCAAATTTGATGTCTCTACTGACAAAGTCGTCTTCTGTTGTTTGTTCACGCGTGCGAGTGATACGATGTTGTTTTCTTACCCCTGGAAAAAAGTTTGACGAAAGTGTAACTCATGGATAAGACGACCCCCTTCTACAGACTGCTTTTTTTGGTCCTCAAAATTCGGCTTATAGACGGTCATATACGGTACATTGATTTGAATGTTTTAAAGCTGATTATCTCCCCTTGATCACAGCTGAGAAATCTCACAGCACCACTCACCTTCAGAAAGTTGGCACCTTCAATGGTGCCAGTTGTACCAAAACTCCAGCAGGAACCACAGACAGCTTGGTCTTTGACAGGAGTTACAGCTCCTGAAGACAGAGAGGTAGTTACAACTTTGGGGTAATAATGCAACTGTGACTAGTTCAGATGAGAACATTTTCTGCATCAAAGATGTTTGTTTGCACAGGGCAAATCGTTTTGAGTAAGTGAGTGAGTGAGTTAAGTTTTACGCCGCCACTCAGCAATTTTCCAGTTATATGGCAGCAGTCTGTAAATAATCGAATCTGGACCAGACAATTCAGTGATCAACAGCATGAGCATCGATCTGCGCAATTGGGAACCGATGACATATGTCAACCAAGTCAGCGAGCCTGACGACCCAATCCCGTTAGTCGCCTTCTACGACAAGCATGGGTTACTGAAGATCAATATTCTAACCCGGACCTTCCCGGGTGCAAATCGATTCGATTAAAATGACTTATGAATGTTTCTGTTACTGATGATTTCTTACCATACAGCCTCCAATCAACCTGGTCTGGGATGTCCTTTAAGTTATACTTGGTCTTATCAAAGGGCAAGCCTCCGTGGTCTCCATGGGTGTACCGGGTAGCCATTCATCAACTTTAGCTCTTCATCGGAGCGATCGGCCATGTGGTTGACAGACAGACGGTAACTCAGGTTGTCTCGGTTCTTGGAGTAGATGAATCTGTTGACAGTGCCAGTATATGGTATGTTCTGCAGCCACAACTTGAATTTATCCACACTTTCAGCTCATGCGGTGTGATGAAAGTGGGCAAATTTCTAATCAGTAGCATCAGTGTAATTTTGCTTTTCACAACAAAATTTATAGTGGAGCCAATTTTTAAACCTGATTGTTTGAGCCTTTAAGTATTTCAAATTGTTTTTTTCTCCATTTATTCATTTAAGGGGCATCACTGATTATGGCCAAGTTTTTTTCCAGTCCCACGTTATGCTGATTCAGCAAGATATAACCTAAATACTGTTCAAAACAGCATTGAAATCCAATATATTTACATTCTCTGATAAACTGATAGAAACAGAGTGAACACACAGACTCAAGACTGAAGTAGCCCACTCACCTGACATTTTGTCTGAAGAGATGTGTTCTCTGTGCATGTTCCTTGTCTGAAATGTAGCTCCTCTTGTGCGTCTTCTTGAAGGTGTCAAACATCACATCTGTATGGCTGTCTTCGTTGTGGATGAACTCCTTCATTGGGTTCATATCAAGGTGATGACTCACACCAGGCCCAGGGAATCCACCACAGGACATATCTTCAGACGGAAACAGATACAGGTCTTTACCATGTCACGGTCAAGGGATAGTCTTAACAAGAGGGAGTGAGTGAGTTTAGTTTTACGCCGCACTCAGCAATATTGCAGCTATATGGCGGCAGTCTGTAAATAATCGAGTCCGGACCAGACAATCCAGTGATCAACAGCATGAGCATCGATCTGAGCAATTGGGAGTCGATGACATGTGTCAACCAAGTCAGCGAGCCTGACCACCCAATCCCGTTAGTCGCCTTTTACGACAAGCATAGTCGCCTCTTGTGGCAAGCATGGGTTGCTGAAGACCTATTCTACCCCGGATCTTCACGGGTCTCTTAACAAGAAGAAGCCATTAAAAGTGTCTTTATATTTCTAATTGCCATGCCCTATCATGCAAGAATACCCAAGACAATTGGTTTGCAAAGACTGTCTTTGGAATGGGAGGAGTATTAGCCCTGCTTTAGACAGTGTTCCAGTCAGAATCCAGTGTGTTAAATGAATGTGGAGGAAAGCCTGAAGTGACGAAGGCCACTTATTCACAACTTGAGTCCATTGATACATTAGATTCCATTCAGAATCTATAAATAATTGAGGCCAACCCTGATTTAAACCCACAATCATCTGTGATGCCTAAGGGATGCAACCCTGCTCAGCAACTTGCAGTACCTTACAGTGTTTGCATTACTTTAATTTGACAGTTGGCCATCAGGGCCTGCTGCTGCCTGCAGGCTTTAAAATCTTCAGGCCCGGAATGTAATCTGCAGGCCCGTTTTGTTACAGTCAAACCAATAATACAAAATAGACTACACTGTACACAATTTCACACTGTTTCTTCAAAATCAGTTAGCGCAACCCTATGTTGCAGACATTCCTATGCGCAAAACACTGAAACCAGGAAGTGAAACTGTAAGTTATCGTAACATGATGGATCATGGATGATTTCCAAACGTTAATAAAGAACAAAATTCTGGGAAAGATTGCAGTTGAAAAAAAATGACAAATAATTCACTGAAGGCCACAAGGGCCTGTAACTATTTGATACTGCCAGCCCGATACAGTAACAACCAGCGCTGGGACTCCCGGCCGGCGATTATTTTGAATGCCGGTACCTTAGATGACTTACAGAATTAAAATAGTGTAGTAATATGTTCTTTATTCATTGTGATATTCAACTTACTTTTTTGGTGCCTCGAACATAGTCTCAGGAATTGACTTTATACCTTCGTAGCTGTCATAGTCGAGGACATATTTATCATAATGTGACCCCAGCAGAGAGTCATATCCCATCATTTCATAGCTGACAGGGTGTTTCATTTTGCTGTCAACATACATAATGTACACGTTCTCCTTTGTGCCAACAGTGGTCCGCTTCATCCACAGGTCAACCTGCACACCACCCCTCATTTCAGTGGATGTTTGCTGAAGGAAAGAAAAGCTCTATATTTACAGGTGGAAAGAGTACTTGTTCTCATGCATTGTCGCAAAAAAAAGGGAATGCGACTTATTAATTTCAGAATAAACCCAGAGTATATCATATAGGTTGGTGAATGGATGTGTTTGTTGCTTATTGTAGCCATAGACAGATCCAGAGGTTGGATGCAAGGGTGCACACCCCTCCTTTCATCTTGAAAGTTTATTAAAGGACCATTGAAACTCTCATGAAAACGGGTAAAATGAACAGTGCTCTCTCCCCCCCCCCCAAAAAAAAAGAAAGAAAAGAAAAAAAAAGAAAAAAAAGAAAAAAAAAAGGCTGTATACACCCCTGAAAGTAGAACTCAATAATATTCCAGGTATACTACGGCGGTCTGTATATATAATGGGGTCTGGACCAGACAATCCAGTGATTGATATCATGAGCATTGATCTACTCAGCAATATTCCAGCAATATCATTGCTAGGGGACACCAGAAATGTGCTTCACATGTTGTACCCATGTGAGAAATCGAACCCGGGTCTTTGGTCTGATCAGCGAATGCTTTAACAACTAGACTATCCCACCACGAATGGATCCTGGGATTTGTTTAGGTACCGGTATACCAAATCCTAGCTAATGTTGTACATAAGTAAGAACTGTTAAACCTTTAATTGACTTAAATCGACCTTTTTGACAACAGTGCACAATTCTCACCAAATCCAAATTTCAACCAATCAGAGCGGCGCCTTCTGTGACGTCATATGAGGAATAGCTTTGAGGGCCGATGCAGAATTCATCTACATTTTAGGGGTAAATTATCTTGTTTACAGGCTTGTATAAACCTGAAATCGCGGACAATTGTTGTGGAAAATGAAAGCTATATGTTCTCACAATCTACTGGCATTTAATTTTGTCTCCTGCTTTGCCTAGTTTCCGAAGTTACAACTTGTTTTCATAGACGCTTCTGTCACAATTGATTGGTGTCGTTAGGCCCTATTTGTATAATGACTGATCCAAATTGATCCCATTTCTGTGTTTTTACCTCGATATTTAATCATGTCATGTAAAAATCTGTTTGTATTCTCAAAACAGTGTCGGCCCATAAGTTTTCACATGCAATACAGCAATTAATACTCCCTTGTTGTAACCCGTGTTAGGTGGTATAAACCTACACATGTTATTTGTCATCATTCACTTGATGGTCAGTTAATGAATTTATAACAGGTATAATTAGTGGTAACACACTTAGATTACCGACAAAGGTTCCCATTTGGCATTTCTTGTGTCTGGAGTAAATATTCAACATTATGAACATCGATCAAAGGATTAACCGATAACACGCTGATTGATTAATTACTTTTATCTTACACAGCGGAATTGTCAAAAGGTAGTGTTTATGTATGTAGATTTACTAATCTATACTGAATACACTCTGCCGTGCCGGTGTTCGGGCGTAAAACAACGTCCTTCTTTCAAAAGATTAACCGGCAATACATTGATTGATTGCCCATTATTGGCTAACTAAATTACTGTTTTTAATGAAAGACGGACATTATGCAATTAGTTGCCAGGTGTGCTATCTTGGGTGACCAATGAGACTATACACCAATACCTGAAAAGATTTATCACTTTTTCGTATATTAAACTGTTAAAAGACACATCATTTGGAACAGTTTTGTGGATATTGATGGATACATTCCTCAAACAAGGTATGGCCTGATATTGTTCCTATAACTTTAATCTGTTTTAATTTTAATATTTGCATTTTGTTTTTTAATCATTTGTCGTAGCATTCAACAGAATCATTGTTTTCGGCCGCGGAAGTGTAATGAGACAGACAACATACACTAGGATGTGTGTGCTTAATTATGATTCACATTGGCAAACTATAAAATGTCTAGATATTACAGTTCTGTTATAAATTCACTATAAGTATCAGCAGATCGCCTGCTTTTATTTAGTTTCAAAATGCATAAAAGTATGATAATAAACTAATTAGGATTATAAGACCAAATATAAAGACATTACTTGACTAGTATCTACATACTGGTGAGTGGACATTAACCATGGGAATGTAGCAAGAAATTTATCACAAGAGTATTGTGACTTCGACCCCCACCTCGCTTCCGTGGAAGAAATCGTTATGTTATAAGTTGTGTCATGCAAAACCCTTTTGGTTATGATTCCAATACATATTTAACTTTTGAGTAGAAAGTAGTTTTGATTTTCTAACTTGATGAAAACAAACTATAATCTCATTAATTCTAACAGACTTTACTTAATTTTAAAATGATGGCGCTGTCGTCGGGAACATCCGACAGTCTGTGGATAAATGCTATTTAGGTTTGTTTTCACCGAAGTTACAAAATCAAAACTACTTTCTACTGGTAGTAAAATATGTATTTTATTGATGGCCAATAGGATTTTGCATGACATAGCTTATAACATGACAATTTCTCCTGGCAGCGTAGGTGGGTGTCAATATAATACTACTTACAATATTATTGTTACTTTCTCGACCACAACCTCACTTCCGAGGAAGAAATTGTTATGTGACAAGTTGTGTTATGGAAAATCTTTATGGTTATCAATCATATACATATTTTACTATAACTAGTAAGTAGTTTTGATTCTTTAACTTCCGTGAAGCCGATCTGAACACAAGTAAGATATCGCTTCAGGCTTCCACAACGCCGCCGCAGACTCACAAACATAACCCATTTAGCACGAACTGGGGATCCTGTGGAAATCTGTGCATGGTGACACCATCACCCCGACCCCTAGGAGCAATTGACGACAAAGCAACGATTCGGCATGTCGTGCGTAACGTCGAGAAATCATCAAAATGATGAGCTGCATACACACTTTCTATACAACTAACTGAAAATCGTTCCTCATATGACGTCACTGCAGTGCTCTGGCGACAGAGTTACGTAACCTGTCTGTGGTTTCGTTGGCGTGCGAGAGGGAAGCAGGCGACTTTTTGGCCACTTTTAATCGCTCGGTATTAATTAACCACAAGTTTTTAAAGAATGAATTTGGTGTTCCGCATAAGACTAACCACAAATCTTTCATATGTAATGGTTAAAAGAGTAACAAAAAACAAAGTTTAGTGGTTCTTTAATCCTGCAACAGCAGCACTGAGAAGTGGTAAATGTGTCCTGGCTGGTTTTGTGTTGGTTTACCGTGAATCCTGTGAGATCTGGCAGAATGGACTGAATTGTAACAGCAGTGTCATTGGTGCCATTAGTCTGGAAGCACATCTCGGTATTTATTGTGTAATTGGACATTGGCGCCAACTTGTAGGTAATGCCATTATTTCCAAGATCAGCTCTCTGGATTGTGACAACATCACCTGAAATTAGGATAAGAGGAGAGATTATTTCAAGTCAGGTGATACCAAAAATTTCCAATGTACTAATCCCAAATTTGGATAGTATGTTCCCCAGTTTGGGGTCAAAGTCTGTAGTCCTTGATAAATTCCTCAATGAGCAGGTATACCCTTTGACTGACACCAGATCTGAGAGAGTGACTGCCTGCCTGGGTTGTGGTCAGCCATAGTATAGTTGTATTGTTGCTGTAAGTTATCAGGTCTGGACATGGAAAACCAGTGGTAAATACCAAGAACAACAACCCACTGGATCAAGGTCTGGAGACATGCCACGGCTCAGATTTCAAGGACCTGATTCAATGTATTATGAACCAGTCTGACTGCAACTAACAGATTCAAATTCATCATAAACATTGACCTAGCAACATGACAAAGTAGTATTCAAATGACTTGCACAAGCTGAAACCAACTAAACACAACTTCAGCACCTTACACACAACTTCAGCACCCTATAAAATACCCAATTTTCAACATAAGGGACCGTTCATAATTTATGGCTAGGGGGGGTGATGATGATTTTAAGGGGGGGGGTCACCCATTTTGTTCTGGGGAGGTACGGGGATGTCATCAATTTTGTACACATTTACTAGGGTGGGTCATCAATTTTGTTCATTTAAACATTTAAAAATTATGCTTAAAATCATGGGAGGGAAGGGGTCCTTGATTTTGTACATGACATGTTGTGTGTGTGTGTGTGGGGGGGGCACTTACTTTGTACATCAATTCTAGGAGGGGTCAGTCACGTTCTACATGCTTCTCCATAAACATTTAAGGCATATTTCCTCATTACACTATTAACTATATCATCAGCCATATCATACACACTACAGTGACAACCCATGAATACATCAGTACCAGGATGTAGAGCAAGATGATTCATAGACAAATGGGTTACATCCTGTTCAGGCAAGCCATTAAAACATCACTGTCTACAATGCCAGATGTGTCAGCATGAAAAGCAGTCAACAGAGGCAATAAACTAACACCGGTAAACCAGCATGACCTTCGCTTTGTTTTGCAAATTCAGAGTGATTGATAAATGCAATTTTAGGGATCAATATTAGGTAATAGATATTCCATGTCAGGGGTTTACCTACCCTGCACAGAGGTCAATATTTGGCATGAAGTCTGGAGCAAATGTCTGGAGCAAATTCCCGATTTGAATTGAAATATTCCTAATTCCTGATAATTTACAAAAATATATATATTAAAAACAATCAAATTTGAATGATTTCATGATTTTTCCAAGTTTTTCCTGCAAGGGGCACTCAGTTTGTAATTCTACATGCCGTTTGGAGTAAATGACATAAAAAATTTAAAATTTCAAACATTCTCAAGCTGTACGATAGTTTTCATCAGCATCCCAGTATTGATTGTATTTCTTATCAAATGTATACTACACCTGTTGCACATCCCAGTGAGTGAGTGAGTTCAGTTTTACGTCGCTTGTAGCAATATTCCAGCAATATCACGGCGGGGAACACCAGAAATGGGCGTCACACATTGTACCCATGTGGGGAAGCAAACCCGGGCCTTCGGCATGATGAGCGAACGCTTTAACCACTAGGCTACCCCACCGCCCCATTGCACATACCAAATCAGTCATTATAACGTTAAACATGAGAGTAGGGTTTTAAACTGCTTTCAGCAATATTTCATGAGACTGGACACCTGACACGTGGTCCACATATTGTAACCATGGGGGGAATCAAACCTTAATCTTCGGCATGATATGAGAACACGTAAACCACGAGGCTACCCCACAGCTATAATGTTCAAAGGGAAAACGGACAACAACTAACAAACTTGACCTGCAGAATATCCATGGATAATCTGAAGACATACTGAAATAAGAACAGTTAACACACAACTGCATTTTTACACAAGTGCAATGTCCAGTATCACATACCTCCATAGTAGTCGATCCTGCTCCTGTTGTTCGTGCTGTCGAAGTAGGCAGTGAAGGGCTCGTTGATTTCTGCATACGGCAGTCGGAGGATGCCACTGACGATATAGGTGGAATTGAACGTTGGCGGGCCGTCTTTCAAATGGGCGGAGGCGCAGAGGCCTGGGCATAAACAAACACATATGAAATCATGTCATCACATCTATGATCTTAATTAGTATCAGGCACAAAACATATCATCAATATGAATCTATTATGGTCACTCTCAAATTTAGATATATGGTTGCAATTTGTATAACATTACTGACACTATATTTCGGGACGGCCCTTTCCACAAAGGTGCCTGGGAGTGTAAAAAACATTGAATAAAAATAACAGCCAAGCAGAAATCTCAGTGCATAACCCGTGAAGATCCGGGTTAGAATTGATCTTCAGTAACCCATGCTTGTCGTAAGAGGCGACTAATGGGATAGGGTGGTCAGACTTGCAGACTTCGTTGACACATGTCATCGCATCTTAATTGCGTAGATCGATGCTCATGCTTTTGATCACTGGATTATCTGGTCCAGACTCGATTATTTACAGAACACCGCCATATAGCTGGAATATTGCTGAGTTTGGTGTAAAACTAAACTCACTCACTCAGTGCATGGAGAAACTGCACACCAAAACTCCAGCTCAGCTGCATATTATATGCAAACTAAATCACCATTACCCAACTGACTGTATTGCTTATGTACAAATACACATGACAAATATACAACAACCATGACTGACTGACTGAGCTTGGTTTTACGCCGCTTTTTAGCAATATTCCAGCAACATCACGGCAGGGGACACAAGAAATGGGCTTCACACATTGTGCCCATGTGGGGATTCGAACCCGGGTCTTCGGCGTGACGAGCCAACGCTTTAACCATTAGGCTACCCCACCGCCCCCAACAACCATGAGAATAACAACACCTTGCACAGTTATTTAATGCAGTCTTTCAAACTTGCAGGCCTACATTCCTTTATAGATCTGCATGACCTACATAAAGCAACTGCATTGAATGACACAAAAAGGTGCTTGGTCTCTCTGATTGCTGTTTTGGGTCCTGTATCACGATACGAGGCTCATGATACAATACTTTGGTTAGCAAATCCTGTATCACAATAAATATGATTCAATACATTACAAGTTATTCTGATGTAAAAACTATTAATAATTGATTTAAAACAGAAACTGATTTTCTAGTATTGTCTCTTTCGCTATAAATACCCCTGCCTCCAAGTAAACAATTCCTCCAATACATTATCCCATCTTTGCTACCTGAATTTTGCTAAAAAACATTCAGGATTGTGATTTACCTGCTGAAATGGAGAGAATACAAACTTTTGTAATAAAAGCACTGTATAGTGATTCGTATTGCATGCTGGCCTCATCTTATACTTACACCTTTAAGCTCAACTTCTTAGTCACCATGACCCATGCTTGTCACAAGATATGACTAACAGGATCGAGTGCACTCTGGCGCAGTGCTGACTTAGCATAACATCACTGCCACAGGCTAATTTTGCATATCACGTAACCGGACTTTTCTCTTGCTTGTAAACACATGCGCATATTCATAATAAGAAGAGACAAGCTTTTCGGCTTGCTGTTCACAATGTTTTACATTGTTTTATATATATATATATTCTTCACAACTGCGACAGTAATTTTTCATGACAGTTCATATTTATATATCAAACTGGCTGCATCGTTTGCTTTCCGTCGGCTCCGAAGACAGCACATGGAGCCGTTCAACGTATGTAAACAAAGGATCACTATGCAAATTGAAATAGTGTTACATGTTTTAGGATATTTTCGCAGTGAAACTAAACCATTCTATCAAAAAGGATTAATTAGATGTGTAGACTCATCAAAAATAAAAGAGTTAAGAAATATGTACATTATATTGAATGGATGGTGGTGCAAGATGTGACAAATCGTCACTTCTTTCTGGCCGGTGGCAGAGGTACTATGCTGGCCGCATGGAACTCTGGGTAGGAGAGTGGATCGAGTGGTCAGACTCGCTGACTTGGTTGACACATTTCATTGTATCCCAATTGGGTAGATCAATATTCATGCTGTTGATCACTGGATTGTCTGGTCCAGACTCGATTATTTACAGACCGCCACCATATAGCTGGAGTGTAATATTGCTGAGTGTGGCGTAAATTTTGACTAACTCACTCACCCTTAATCACCAAACACCCAACAAACTCGACATAAAGGTATAAAAACTAAGTAAATACCCCAAATAAACAAAGTTCATACCAAATATGAACAATAACATTCAAGTAAAATGCTCATTGGCTCAAAAGAAAAGCAGAAGCTGTGGCTATTACGCTATACTTGTGTATTCAGCCAAATGGAACCATATCCCTTCAACAATTGAATTTGCTATTCACAATCACCAGAATCGAAGATTTGGGAATTTTTTAAAAGGAGTAGTTTTACTCGAACACAAGGGCTGCTTATCAGAAGGAAATATGCAAAATATAATAAATCCAAGCCAGGAAGGATAATAGTCAACACTCTTACATATTTTATTTGACAGTCTCTGGTCACTGTTGTAATAAATTAGCATTGTCAACATGGTCAAAACAAGTGAAATAAAATATTTGTCACTGAATATAATGCATATTATACAATTCACACTTTGCTAAGGATCAAATCATTGATTCAACAGAAAACTATGATGTGGGGTCAATTGGGTTTAAATATTTAAGCCTATTGTAAACATGGATCCTAGGTTTCAGTATGTCACTGCATCTTGTGGATCCCATACCTGCTATTGACTCGTGTTGTGTACTTGTCAATGACTCCTTCCATGATTTGCAAAATGGTTGGTTGGTGCCATGAAAAACATTTTTATGGTTACTCATGTATCAAGTGCACACGGTTAGCTTAAAGTGTCTGTTTTCCTAAAGATGTGCATTCTCTTCCCACAGAGGTTACTCCTGTCATATCTTCCTACGTAACCTCTGTTCTAATACGGCCATATTTCCCGGTTCTCGTAAAATCCCCTAGCGGCAAAAGATCGCAACACAAATTATCTCCCTTCTTTCTATCCAATCAGAACACCTGTTACATCGACTTAGATTCAACTTGACTAACACAAGCAAATGTGGGGCCACAAATATCCCCCATCTGCCGGGGACTTGTGTTGATGTTACACACAAGACGTTTAATGGCTAGCTTGTCCGTTGTCAACGAGGGGGATGGAGACGCCACTGATCCGCCATAACATAACTGAGTTCTGTCTAGAAGAAACGTTTGCGCATCGCGCAGGGGAAGAAGTTTAGTTTTCTCGAAGCATACGGAAATTACCGAGGCCTTGCGAATGATCACTTTTGAAACAACGTTGCTGATTGCACAACTAAATCTGATTGTCTCCAATCACGAGTCTTGAACGCTCACACCATGAAAGGGCCGTATTAGAACAGAGGTTACGTAGGAAGATATGACAGGAGTAACCTCTGTGGGAAGAGAATGAAAGATGTGTTACCATATCATTATTTATCCAGTTTTAAATGGATACAATATCAAATTATAAATCTATGTTTAAGTAAAGTTGTGAATTTTTGTGATCCTTAGCAAAGTGTGAGTAGCATACACTGACTGCTAACTTGTTACTGTACCATTACCCAAAGGTTAGTATTCGAAACCCGGTATTCGTGATATGTCATATTCGCTTCATAGTGGACTCGTTGAAGCCTTATCTGAAATCTTTACCAATATGGTGAATTCTGGCAATGCAGTAAAATCTTGCCAGAAATTACTGCTGCGTACACTCAAGTGCACAGAATCAGTTTTGTGACACTGTAGGTTTAAAGTAGCACAGGATGTGACCATTCTGATGACAAGATCCATCTATGAATCGATATTGTCAAGAGTAGTTCACTGTCAACGTGCAAGTGACATTATTTCAATTCCATGCACACTAACTTTTGTGGTGTTACTTAAATGCTGTATATCACCTCAGGGGTGGAAATAACCAATTGCCTGACGTCCGAGTCCAGTGTTTTTTTATGTCGGGCAAGCAAATTTGTATATCACACTGTACCAATGTCCAGTTGACTTTCCAATGTTAATTATGTTGTTTATTTAAAAAATCAGCAAGAAAACGGTCGGTATAATGGGAAAATTATCATGGCAAGTGACTTTACATGTGCCACTGTACCGGAGTACACTATCAATTTTAAAGTTATTTCCATCCCTGCACCATCTATAAAGCAACTCCACGTATAAGGTGACCCCAAATAAAAACCTTCAAAATCGATGCAAATTTATGTACCCTGTCTGTAAAGCAATCGTGAACGAAGCACGGTCACTAGCACAATCACATACATAAGTCTAAACTATCACAAGTTTCAAGATACAATTGATAAATCCCACATATCTATAACAGATATGGAACGCCTCCATGGTGTAGTGGTTAGAGCGTCCACCCGGAGAGTGAAAGGTCGTTCGATCCCCGGTCGCACCATACCAGAAGACGTTGAAATATGGTACTTGTCGGTCCCTGCCTGGCGCTCGACATTAATAGGTACAAAAAGGACTGGTTGGCTCAGAGTCTGAGTGGGACCTTCATACTTAACTGCGGCATGATATCTCAGTGAGCTACCAGCTTTTAAAAGTCTTGGCTAGTACAAGCAGCCACACATACACACGCATGCACGTCGTCATATGAGCGAAATATTCTCAAGCACGACGTTAAACCCAATTTCACCTCACCTCCAGTGATTGACCTCAAGAGCAATACGATGACCTGCATCAGGAAAGTCAGCAATCCTGATCACCCAGTCCTGGGAGTCGACTCGAACGACAAGCAAAGACTGCGGCAGACTAATTCTAAACCTGATCCTCGCGGGACGGAGGTGGAAATAGTAGTAGTTGTAGTAGTATAGTTTTAGTAATAGTACCAGTAATTGTTGTAACAGCAGTGGTAGTAATTGCAGTAGCAGTAGTAGTAATTGTTGTTGTAATAGTAGTTACTGTAGTAATTGTTGTAGTAGGAGTAATTGTTGCAGTAGTATAGTTTGAGTAGTAGTAGTAGCAGTAGTAGTCGAAGGAGTAGTCGTCGTCGTAGAAGTAGTAGCAGTAGGAGTAGTATAATTATAGTAGTATGGTAATTGCTGTAGTAGTAGTAGTAATTGAAGAAGTAGTAGTAGTAGCAGCAGCAGCAGAAGTAGTGGTAGTAGCACCACCACCTCCGTTCGGTAAAACAGGTAAATGTGTACAGTAGATATCCTGCATGTTTGTTTCGGTTCTATGTTCCTTGTATAGCAACGCAACCATTTTGTTTCATACTAATAATCTTAAGAAGTATGACGGTAAACACCATTTCACCTCACCTATAACATATATGATCAGATATATCTTTATTGATATAAAGGATAGTTCATATCTGACATTTGTGTTTGCACATATTATGTTGCATCCTGTACAGGACAGTATCTATGAAGATATTAAGGATGCAATAGAACAAAATCTTGCCCAAATAATTTCCGTGTGCTTCTCTCATTTATCTATTGACAAATGGTCTCGATCAGGCCGAAATGTACACACGCATGGCTTTCGCGCTATGAATATCAATGTTAGTAGACATACATAAACGACTTTTGTCAAAACTTCGAAGCAAATTTTTTACATTTTTTTAAATTTCGAGAGGGGTTGTAAACGGGAAGGTTGACCAAAATGGCAGTCCTTCGTGCCTGTATGATATGCACCATGACACAAACTGGGGTAAACATGGTCGCAAAACGTTTGTGAAGAGTTTATTGGCTGACTGGTTTAGAGAGAACGACCCACCCCCATTCGGATTGCATGTTTGATGTCTCGCGTCTTAAACCCTGAGTATGTCAGTGTCACTCTCGCGTAGAGTTCAGATTAGGAACTATTTCTTTAACAAACCACTTTGCTCTATCATAAACCAAAATACCAGAACTCCCATGCAACGAATACAGCTGTATGCAATTGTACCAAAAAAATCGATCTTACCTGCAACAGCACAGAGGAACACGACCTGCAGGTTGCTCGCCATGTTGTTGAATGAAGTCACATGACCAGTCACGAGGCACCGCGGTTCTCGTCATGTGATGAGAAGGATTACTCACACGCCGTGGACTATTTGAAACAGATGTCTCTCATCAATCATACACAATGCTATATAAGTGTAAACTTTTAAAAGAACACATGATAGCAAAGCAAAAAATTACCTGAGTGTGCGTGACAATGTCCACGAGACTTTTTAACGAGAACAGGTCAGCCCGCAGTATATAATTTTAGCATATCTTGACCATATTCCGGAGACCATATTTCTGTCTCTGCAGGGGCGGATACAGCTTTGAGAAGGTGTGTGCACCCTATTCCCATGAAAAGTCATTTATTTAATATATGTCAGACTGACATCAAGAACAAGAAATATATGTATCGTATCAAAAAATATATATCAAGATAAATAACAAATTCCGACAATTAAATATTTCAGGGCAAGAGCTGAGGCAGTTTGGTCTTATACAATCATTCTAGACCTTAGTTGGACTCCGATCAATTTATTGTCTAAAGTCTGATCAGACACAGATTTGTTAGAGAGCTTTTATATGTAGTAAATATATAGATCATATTCTTTGATTTTTAATTTTGATATTATTGATTGCTCATATACTTACCATTTTCATAATTTCTTGATTTAATTAATAACAAAGTACTTTGAAGAATCTATATTGCAATATACTTCCTGTAGGCGGTATATGTTCCTCTACACTATATCTTAGGCAGCCAACTAAAAGAGACTGACTGACTGACTGAGTTTGGTTTTACGTCGCTTTTAGCAATATTCAAGCTACATCACGGCGGGGGACACCAGAAATGGGCTTCACACATTGTACCCATGTGGGGATTCGAACCCGGGTCTTCGGCGTGACGAGCCAACGCTTTAACCACTAGGCTACCCCACCGCCCCACTAAGAGAGACACCTTTTGTTCCTGGCTATTGTCACGCCTGCCTGGTTTAGTAACTCATGTGTAAGATATTACGTAATGTTAGGTTTTATGTAAGGTTGCAAGATTATGGTGATTACGGTAGGGACTGGGCCTGGCCAATTAGTATAGGGGTGGGGGTGGGTGTGGGTGTGGGGCGACTAAGTTCTGTATCTCATTTTGCTGCAAAATATGTTTTATTGTCTCTGCTAAGTGATATCAAAGAACATCGTATTGTTTCCATATATAGATACCCAGGTCTCTATGTTTGTTCTGTTTATTGACGACCGGTAAACTGCGGACTGTCCGTTTATCTAGTTATACACTCGTGCCATAGTTTGTCGACAAGCGACGAAAACAGACAGGCTACTGTGTGCAAAGGGCTTTTATGAATCTGTTGTTTTCAAAACTCTGTTTAAATTAGGTACCCACATCTTTCATATGATCTAGCTTGGTATGTACTTTCAAAAGGGCAGTATTTTCAAATGACGGACAAACACACACACACACACAACACACACACACACACACACACACACACACACACACACACACACACACACACACACACACACACACACACACACACACACACACACACACACACACACACACACACACACACACACACACCGGATATTTATATCTTTCATGTATCATCTTATGTTTTCATTTTTGCCAAAGACGTATACGTCCTTGATTTTTGCCGAACTGAAAATACATAGAAGGTGACGAAATGCGAAACGATCATCCTGCTATCACGCCTAGCTTTCTCGGATCTATGACGTCACATGTCTATGACGTCATTATATTGTCGCTTCCTACCAGAGGTTCAACATTTGCGCACCCAGACTCTTGTTATATAAGGCATTTCAAGAGGATAAAGTCCGTCATCGTAAGTGTGCTCCGATGTTTCCTTTCACTGACGAACTATTCATCACTTCTATCCCTTAAAAACTTAAACGAATGGATGAATGTGTTAGCTGAATGTGTGGTAGCTGTACCTGCCCAGGTCGAGCAGTCTGCGGTCTCGTGGTACAGTATTTGCCTTGGCGTTATCACGTTATCCCGTGATAACATATTATCTCTGTCGTTATCAGTAACATACAATCTACATGACGCAACTGATCTGAGTCTGCAACTCGTATATATGCGGCTGTCTGTAAATGTGTACAGTTACATGGGAGTTTTGCTCACTTAGGATTACTTTATCAATGTTTCCACCATTTTTGTTCAAGACAGTATGAAACAAAATGGTTGCGTTGCTATACCAGGAACATAGAACCGAAACAAACATGCAGGATATCTACTGTACACATTTACCTGTTTTAACGTGGTGGTGGTGCTACTACCACTACTTCTGCTGCTGCTGCTGCTACTACTACTACTACTTCAATTACTACTACTACTACTACAACAATTACTACTACTACTACTACTAAAACTATACTACTCCTACTGCTAATACTACTAAGACGACGACTACTTCTTCGACTACTACTACTACTGCTACTACTTCTACTACTACTACTACTACTACTACTAAAACTATACTACTACTGCAACAATTACTCCTACAACAACAATTACTACAGTAACTACTATTACAACAACAATTACTACCACTGCTACTGCAATTACTACCACTACTGCTACAACAATTACTGTTACTTTTACCAAAACTATACTACTACAACTACTACTATTTCCACCTCCGTCCCGCGAGGATCAAGTTTAGAAGTAGTCTGCCGCAGTTTATGCTTGTCGTTCGAGTCGACTCCCAGGACTGGGTGATCAGGATTGCTGGCTTGCCTGATGCAGGTCATCGTATTGCTCTTGAGGTCAATCACTGGAGGTGAGGTGAAATTGGGTTTAACGTCGTGCTTGAGAATATTTCGCTCATATGACGATGTGCATGCGTGTGTATGTGTGGCTGCTTGTACTAGCCAAGACTTAAGCTGGTTTTATAGTGCTAGCCCACTGAGATACCATGCCGCAGTGAAGCATGAATACCGCACTCAGACACATTACACTGACTCCGAGCCGACCAGTCCTTGTTGTACCCATTAATGCTGAGCGCCAGGCAGGGATCGACCAACAAGTACAATATTTCACTCACTGGACTGACTCGATCATTTACCGACCGCCGTCATATTGCTGGATCATTTACCAACCGCCGTCATATTGCTGGGAAATTGCTGGAAACAAGAAACAAACAGAACAAACAAACAAACAAACAAACTGAAGCTACTGCTGTTATCAAATATACTGACTTACCGAGTTTGGTTTTACGCCGCTTTTAGCAATATTCCAGCAATATCACGGCGGGGGGACACCAGAAATGGGCTTCACACATTGTACCCATGGTTATCAAATATACATTAGATGTAGTTTAAACCTAATCATGGTTCAAATCCAGATTTGTCCTTGCTATATTTCTTTGTTTGTCTGCACCAGCCCAATGGTAAATGGTTCTAAACAAACTGCTTCACCTGGACTTAGTTTTCCCCGCTACTGGGGGATATAGTGAATGAGTTTAGTTTTACGCCGCACTCAGCAATATTGCAGCTATATGGCGGACTGGGGTATATAACATGTGTTATGCCGTATAGAAAGATGAAGGACCATAACCTGAATGAACATGTGACGAAATCTTGTATTTCTTGCAGATGTTGACTGTAATTGAGACTCAACAACGCCGGACTAAGCTCCACAGAAAGACAACGAGCATTCTAAGCGTCAGCCCTCAGTCTGAGCTTGATAATAATAATAGTGCCAAAAAACAATACCAAAGTAAAGCAGCCAAAGCCAATCCAGCCGAAGACAGTCCCTGCGAAGGGTTCAGGGAAGACAAACAAAGAAATAACAAAAGACGAAAAGAAAAAGCCAAAGAAAGAAAAGAAGAAAATTGGGAAATTCTGTATATCCCTCCCTTCGGGCTTGCCCAAAGGCATCAAAATTAAGAAGGTACAGCTTCCAAACAGAAAGCCGAAAGATGAGGAACCCCAAGTTGAAGAAGCTCAACCCTTTACCGAAATAATAGCAGCAGAGGAAGTGTTTGTAAACAGGGTTCATCTCTATGACGAAAAAGAGGAGAAGAAAATTCAGTTGAAATCGCCGGGGCCAAAAACACCCGAAAACTATGGCCGCAGTGTGGAGTTTTACAGGCATATCACCGAAGCGCGGGCCAACTTTCTAGGAGCTGCCATGCGGTCTGGGTTGCTACTGCTGACGGGGCGAGTGGAGGGGGATGTTGATGATTGGGACCAGTTCTGTAGAGAAAGGACGGAGTGGGAAAAGCAATGGAGGAGAGAATGTAGAGAGCGCGACAAGGCCAGGGAAAAGGAGAGCAGGAAGGTTGTGGAGGGGCAGGGTACCTGCTGTTTTGCTGTGAGGAAGTTTGGAGCTTGGATGAAGGCCCAGTTTGAGGATATCTTCCCTTGTTGTCTACCTGAGTGAGTGTGTGGAGTGTTGGTGGAAGTGAAGGCACACTGGCATCTATGGCTACGTTATACCCACTGATAGGTCTTATGTGCGAGCATGTGGAACATTCTGATGTCCAATGGCTGGGAGACATTTGTGCCAAGTGTGTGGAACATTCTGATGTCCAATTGCTGGGAGACATATGTGCCAAGTGTGTGGAACATTCTGATGTCCAATGGCTGGGAGACATTTGTGCCAAGTGTGTGGAACATTCTGATGTCCAATGGCTGGGAGACATTTGTGCCAAGTGTGTGGAACATTCTGATGTCCAATGGCTGGGAGACATTTGTGCCAAGTGTGTGGAACATTCTGATGTCCAATGGCTGGGAGACATTTGTGCCAAGTGTGTGGAACATTCTGATGTCCAGGCTGGGAGACATGGCAGAACATATGTGCCAAGTGGTGGAACATTCTGATGTCCAGTGGCTGGGAGACATATGTGCCAAGTGTGTGGAACATTCTGATGTCCAATGGCTGGGAGACATTTGTGCCAAGTGTGTGGAACATTCTGATGTCCAATGGCTGGGAGACATTTGTGCCAAGTGTGTGGAACATTCTGATGTCCAGTGGCTGGGAGACATTTGTGCCAAGTGTGTGGAACATTCTGATGTCCAGTGGCTGGGAGACATTTGTGCCAAGTGTGTGGAACATTCTGATGT